CTAACTCAGCGACGACCTTGTAGCAATTTGGCACTCAAGAGGAGGAGAAAGCAATTTGGTGCTGCATCGACCTGACAACTATCACATATGGCATGAGAGATTCTTCGCCAGACAATGTTTGCGCTATAAACTGGTCCTCTCCAGACGTTTGAGAGCGTACATCTGCCTGTTTTGTGATTGCCTCACAAACACCTCACAAATCAATCGGCACGGAAAACCAAGCCCAGCGGCTTTGAAAATCCTAGGAACTGATGCTAGGAGTGCGGCTGGAGCGGACAACTCTTTGGTTACGTCAGTAGCTACAAAAGGCTGCCAAGAAAACCATCGTGAAAAAATTAAAATGGTGCAGCTGGAATAGCCTAGACAAACAAAAGCACTCTAGACTAGCATCACCAAATGGTGTTGTAGTTATCTGTCTGAACAAGTCCACCTAACTAGACCTAGCCATCAACTGCAGCAGTGACCATTTCTCACTTTACACGTGAGTCATACGTCGAAGCATTTTGCAAAAATCTGCTTTCGAGATCCGGATCTGGAAAATGGGAAGCAGATATTTGCAAGATGCATCGATAGTTTGTATATGGAACCGGTGCTGCCTTCTATTCAGCTTTGGTTTGACATGGTGCCATGATTTGTCCTTAAATGATTTTCCTGAAGGAGCTGTGAGCTAGAGTAATTTTCATATTGTGACAACAATGCTCTAATGCACACCAAGAAGATCACTCTAGCTCACAATGACTCCAAGAAAATCACCTTCATCGCACGGACAAATCATGACATCATGTCAAGCTGGATTGAAGGTATCACTTGTTTAATATGCAAACTATCATGCAGCTTGTGTTTGTAGCTGATAAAGACTGCTGCGTCGCTACTATTTATCTACATGGACTAATGTATATGTCATAGGATGCTGATTTTGTCTTCGTACATGCTGCCCAGCTGGTTGATTTCTTGCTATTTGATTCTTGTTTCGCTTTCGTTGGAGCAGTCCGGAAATCAGCAAGAGAAACGTGGGATCCGGCATATCTCAATTGTTCGAATCTTTGCGAGTATATAACCAAGTGCGCTTGCCTCTCCAAAAGCATCCTCTGTTTCGCTATGGCTCAGTCTATCAAGTTTGCTCCTCTCATTGCGCTGCTCCTTTGCATTGCTGTCACTGCTGAAGTGCTTGATCTTCCAGGCGATTTTTTCTTTGTCGATGGAGCAGCCAGCCGACCGTCTGAATGCAGGCCCAACTCGCAGTGCTGCCCAAACAGCAAATTCTGTCCCAAGGGCAAATACTGCACCGTTTGCACGAGGAGCAATCCGCCTTCGTGCTTTTGCACGAAGGCCCCTCCAAACTGCGGAGTAGGCAGTAGCTGCTGCAGTGACGGGGACTGCCCAAAGGGAAAAGAATGCAGCGTATGCACTAAATCGTTCCCACCTATTTGTCGCTGTGGCCCTAAGCCTAAGCTCGTTCTTGTTTCCGAGTGAAGCAGGCTATCAAGTGTGTGATGGTCAACCCTGTTGACTGTGTAATAAAAGATCTTCCATAATGATAATGTGTGGCTATGTTTATAGTTGTCAATGGAGCAGGTTATAGATTTTGAGCTTCGGATAGATTGCTTTCTGCTAGTTTTCTATCTGTCTTCCTTCGGAAGGGATGGAACAAAGGGTTGAGCTCTTAAAGTTAACACAGTCAATCATTGTCAATAAATGGCTTGAAAGTTGGACTACTATTCTAGGAAACACTCTTCAAAATGCTTCCAAGACTTCCCATTTCCAAGGCTTCCCATTGGTTGGAGACCAGATCATTCCATCGGTTGATCCATGTTTCTTTTCAATCGCACTTTGTTTGCTCATATCTTATATCTTACTTGTATATGGATGCTCTCAACAAACAATCTCAATGGTTTAAATAAGTAGATATAGCTGGACTAGCTAAAAAAGAATAGTCATTTAGACAACCATTAATGCAATCATACTTCAAACACCTAGATATCATTCTTAGGTCATGGTCCCACACTTTTCATGCTGACTTGGCAGGCATGCAGAGAGTTGAGGTGGCACGCATGCAAATATATCCAAATATATGTAAAAGGTAGCTATCTAGCTCTCTAGTACACGTCATGTCTGCTCTTTTACACTGACCTGGCATGCATGCAGAGATGTTGAGTTGGCACACATGCATTCACCTCCTAAATCCCAATTACGCACCATGCATTCGTATATAAAGCTCTTTCTCTCTCTTGTTGTTCCCTTCTGAAGTTATTAGCCAGATTTTATAGGAAAATTTATTTCTTTAAAACTTTATAAACGTCCATTGTATATCTTAACTTTAATGGCTTTCAAAAAGTGTTTTACTCTTTATAGGAGGGTGACTTTTTATTGAACTTTTCCATAGAATGAAATAAAAAACTTTCATAATGAAAGGTAATGTTATAAGTTTTGAATCATAAAATCATAGAGATAAACAGTTAAATATAATGTAGTTAAAGTGTTTGCTATATATTGCTTGATTGTATTTTATATTTTGAAATTTAGTAGACTCTCAAAATGATAGGTAGATTTCAAACAAACCTTTCAAAAGAAAAAAAAAAAGATTACCTTTCAAAGTTGAGGCATAGTACATTGCATTATTAGAAATTTTATATGTAAACTAAATTCATGTTCAATAAAATAAAAGATCAATGAGATGCTCATAAAACTTTAAAAGTTAAGTTTTGATTAAAATTTATTAACTTTGAAATTATTAAGAACTACCTCTAGATTGATAAATAATTATAAAAGTAGTTGTGCATTAATTTCTTAAACCTACGGTGACATCCTCTGAAATGAAAATATAAGAGATGTATTTCTCAAAGCTGGATGTGTTATTTGATAATAGAATGTGGTTAATCCCTTAATTGAATAAATTAGTAAATATAACTACAGTAGAAGAATTTTCACTAGTTTCTCCAATGCTAGTAAGTATTATTCACTATGGAATCTTTTCGTACAACTGGTCTGTGAAGCAGTCTCCAAAGGCGTAGCTGCCACTGAGTTCTCGCAATTTAGCGCTGCTCGCAGGCCTCTCTAAACTCAAAATGAGGGAGATCACAACCCATGAGCAAGAACACTAAATGGCCTACCTGATGGATACTTGATGTAATCAGCATTGTCATGCCTACTTGGAGAGAAATTCAGTAGATCATAGTTCCCAGCGATCTCCTGACGCTTTGCATTGCTGTGAAGCTTCTCTGCGGCAAAAACAGGACACTTCTTGTTAGCAAAAGAGCGAGAAAACGAGGTGAGAACTCGAGATACCTGATCGTCTGATGTCAGGAGTGAGAGGACGAACTAAACGCTGGGCTGTAGCTTCGTTCTTCTCGGTGGTGCTGCTGTTGTCATCGTTGCTCATCATCTTGTCAGTGCCGTCGTTGTTCTCCTTGTTGTTGGAGCCACGGTTGTAAAAGTCATGCGTCCCGCTCAGCTCCTTTACTTTAGCCTCGCGTAAGTGCTTATCTGCATACACGTCTGTAAGTAACTGATAAGAGGGAGCCGACAAAACGGAGAACTTAACCGAAAAAATCTTTTTTCCACCTGGGATCTTGTTTAAACCTTCAGGGGTCGCGTTCTCGTCGTGTTGAACAGGATTGCTTCCCCTCAGCTGCTTAATCCTAGCAACAACATCTGCAGCATCACCAGAGTGAGTACCAAGCGAGAAACCCATGCGCCCCAAAGAAGAATCCATCCAGCTGTGTATGTATGCACAAAGAGGCTGGAGTTAACACAATGGGATTCAAATAATGTCCCTGCAGGCCAAACGCGTGAGTGATTCCTCTCAAAAGGCGAAGGACACAAGTAAAAAGAAGATAAAAACCGAAAAAAAACCCCCGCAGCTAACCGAGTACAATGGTGCTTGGTCCACCTGGTGGCTTCCTGATACGGTTGCTGACACTCTGCTGCGATGGCGGAGGCTTCTCCTCGGAGAAAATGTCACTCCCGATCATTTCTCTTCGCTTAGCGTCGCTGAGAGACTTCTCCACATGAGTTCCATAGCCACCTTTCTTGAAGATGTCGTTTCCAGTCATCTCTGCTGCCTTTTGGTTGTGTGTCCGCTGGCCTTGGGAAGAGTACTGCATCCCCCAACACCCCAACACAGGTAAAGAATAAACTGGCAAGCTTCATGGTTCTCGTTAGTTCTTCGCATTTTTTTAAGAGCTTCGAGAGCGGCATACCTCGGATGTTGGTGGTCCAAAGATATTGCTTCCGCACATTTCTTTTGCCTTGGCATTAGACATTGGACGTCGAGGTTGCTCCTCAAATGTCTCCTGGGTTCCACTGAGCTCGCGTTGCTTAGCCACCTCTGCGTGGCTGCTAGCTTTCTTTTGGAAGCTGTTGTCACCTTCTCCAAAAGAAATTTGGCTCCCTCCACTCGGCTGAGAAAGAACGAGAAGTTACGTCAAACTTTGGCTTACCAGAATGATCTAAATGATGCAGCTAATGCTTCACAAAAACTCCAAGGTCCTGTCAAATGGCAAGAGCGGCAACTCAGTCGTAAAAATGTAAGATATTCCAATGCTTTAGCTAGAACAAAAAAAAACTCACATGTTTCAGCGACTAATCGACGAAGTGATCCGAAATGCGCGAGAGAATGCTTTGTCTTGCGAGAGCTACAAACTGGAGTTTTCAAGCAAGAATGCGGCATCCCACCTGGAGAATCCGGATGGCCGAGCGCGAAACGGGCGGATCCGTGCAGCTCTGGTCATTAGCCGCCGCGAATCCCTTGCTATCGTTGGTCGCCGAAAAGCGCACGGGCGTGGCTCGGTCCGACGACGCGTCCGCGCCATCCGACCAGCTTAGGAGATCAGACTTGCCCTGGCTGCCGCGCTTCTCGATCGCAGACATCGCTCACCGGAGCTGGAAGATCACATCCCCAAAACCCTTGCCGGGCGCGAAGAAAGACCAGCAAAGAAATGAGAGAGGGCAAAACCTAATGCCCAAAGCTTTCAAACCAACTGCATGCGCGCAAAGGGATATTCTCGGCCGGATCAGCATATTCTCTAGAATAATCATTCCGTACGAGAGTTTTATACACGAGGTTTTACTTCTCAAGCGTAGCACCTGTTTCCATTGCTCGATTTAGTCTTCAGCCCGGGAACTTCTCCATCGTCCTCCACGGGGACCTTGGCAAACAAAAGAAAAATAAGATCTTGCGTAAGTTTCCAGTGTTTTCTGTCCGAGATCCAGCAGGGAAAAAAATTCATAGACGAGAAAACGATCTTCTATAACGAAATCTGGATGATGTAAAGCACTGGAAAACACAAGAATCTAGAAAGAAAAAGGAGAAGTTTAGAGAGAACCTTGTAATCCGGGCCTATAACTCTGTGATGCGATGTTTCGGCGACAGAACCCGTGGAAAGATTGTGAAGCCGCGGGTATGGGATCTTGTAGTGCCAAGCGATCTCATACCGGGTCTCCCCTTCAAATATCTGCAAGAGACAAATATTTCATGGCCGAATGGATCAGAGCAAACTGGGGAACACAAACACCTTCTCGTTGATCAGCTTGGAATCAGACAAATGCTGGTTCTTCCGGAAGAGCTGCACGGCCTCGTCCTGGAGAGAAAGATAAGGAGAGAGAGAGAGAGAATTTGAGCGAGAAGAAAGAACACCACAATCTCCTACCTTGATGTATTGCTTCTCGTTCTCCGGACCCGGCCATGTCCGAGATGATCGCAGTAACGATCGGTAGAGCGCCAGCGCCCTCGCCCTCGTTCCCATTTCCACACAGAAGAAATTAGGGCTTTACATTATCCAGATTCGCTGCTATTGTAAGAATATTCTCCGGTCAATCCGGAGTAAGTAATCCTCGGCTTGCTTGAGAGCTCCGAGTGAGACTTGGTGTGATCGCCATCGATATGATTATCTTGCCAGAACTATCGAGTGATCGACGACTTCACAACCAGCTCAAGTCTAGAGGTGAGAGCAAAAAGAACTCCAGTGAAAGTACCTCTTCTGGATCAACGTAGAAACCCGGATGGGAATGCGAATTCCCACAAAGTCGAGCGAGCTTGTCACTTCCTCCACACGGCCAACACATCGTCAGTCCGGAACCGCTGAGTGCACGTCGATTCCTCCAGTGGAGTAGTGATGCCAGCCTCAAACGCCAGGAGCCCAGTATACGCGATCATGGCTCCATTGTCTATGCAGTATCTGTCGTCCGTCGCGAAGAGCTTGCCTCCCCTCTCGTCGCACATCACCTGCATCATGGCTTGCAGCCTCTGGTTGCATCCAACGCCGCCGACGATGAGGACGTCTCGCTTGTCACAGTGGGCCATTGCTCGTTCTGTGATCTCCACCAGCATCGCGAACACAGTCTCCTGCTTGGTCTTTCCGAGATGAGAAAACAGTACGAAGAAAAAAGAGATTTTTACCTGGAGTGAGAAGCACAAATCAGCTGGAGTGCACTCCTTGGCTGCCAGCTTCTCGGTCGCAACGCTCTCAATGTAGCTCAAAATGCCACTGAAAGAAACGTCCATTCCTTTCACCACGTAAGGCAGCTCAATGTACTCGCTCCCCTTCTTCGCGAGCTATTACGTTGAAGAAACCATTCATGAGACGAACAAGGAAAAGAAAAAATTCCAAGAGCTACCTGTTCGATGTTATAACCCGGAGCTGGATCGTTGGAGATGTTGAGAACTCTGGCAAATCGATCCAGGCAATTCCCCACAGCGATATCAATCGTCTCTCCAAAAATCCTGTAGCGCCCTTCGCTGTAAGCTATCACCTGCGTGTTCCCACCACTGACATAGAGCACCACTGGATCGCTGGCGCCAGTTACGACTCTCCCCATCTCAATGTGAGCCACGCAGTGATTGACAGCCACGATGGGCTTCTTCCACAGCAGCGATAGAACCCTAATCACCACTGCCACTGTCTGGAGCGGCGCTCCCATCCCAGGCCCCTTAGTGTAGCACAGGCAATCGATGTCGCCCGGGGCGAGCCCGGCCTCGTCCAGCGCCGCCTTGATCAGGGGCAAGATCTGCTGCTGGTGATGGATTGCCGTCTCGCGCGGCAGGAATCCCTCACCTGGTGGAGTGATGTAGGTGCGCCGCGGATTGGCGAGGATTGTCCCATCGCTCTTGGCAATGCCGACGCCGATCTTGTTCGCGGAGCCCTCTATCCCCAGCGCTATCTTCATCGCTCGGGGTTTAGGGCTTTAGGGGATCCAAAAGCCCTAATCTGAATGTTTAATGGAATATCCTCCATTATAGGGCGACCTGGCCATGGCGATGCATGGCGATTCAGTGACGAGGTATGGCGCTGAGTGGATCGATTTGCTGTAGCTGGATCGATTACTGTAGCTAGAAAGCGCTAGCGCTTAAAATCTCCGCTGCATGCCTGTGGAGCGGCACCATTTTTCACTCCAGGGCCGTGCTCTGCCGCTTGCGTCGTTGTTTAGCTGGGGAGCGCTGCAATTTGCGCCCCTTTTCCCTAGCAATCCTTCGTACCTTGCATTGATTTTGCTGCCTTTCGAGTCGCGATCACTGGATTGTCTCACTTCCGTTATGGTGATTTTAACTTAGTCTTCCTTTCTTTGTTTTTGCGTCCTTGTGTCTCTTCCTGTCTTATCACTGAGGCTTTGTTTATTCTTCTCTTCGAGCGGTGAACGCGTGAAGTACTTTGAGCGATTTTTCTTTGCCTTCGTCTTCTTTCCTCTCTTTGTTTTCTATCCATACGATTGTTTCTAGCCTCCGGCCAACTCCTGCTTGAACAGCGGGAGATTTTTTAGAACTACACACACGAGAGTTGAGCAACGCGGTATGGCAGGATTTTCAAGACGGATTTTGGCAACAGACACTCCCGTCATGGTTCAGGTGCTTTACTGGAACTGGAAGAGGGGAAGAGAGCAAGAGAGGAAGATTTTGCACTTTGATTCTTTTCTTTTGTGTCCCGACTGTGCGTTGTAACTTTGTTAGCTGTGGAAGCTTGCAGGTTCAAGAGCTTCTTCAAGGAAGAAACGATGTTGTCTCGCTTGCCCAGGTCTCTTCCACATTTGTTTGATCTGATTACAAATCATTCTTCCAGGGAGTTGTCCATTGGCAGCCTCCACCGCAAGCTCTCGAGAAAGTCAAAGATCTGATACAGGACATTTCTACAAGCCGCTATGGCCCAGACGATGGCCTTCCAGAGCTTAGGCTTGCACTTTCCGAGAAGGTTTGTTTCTTTTCTTCTTGCTCTCTCTTTTTCTAACTCACACCTTTCGTTTCTTCGTCCACAGCTTAAGAAGGAAAACAAGCTTTTCAAGTCTTCGGTGATGGTCACCGCTGGTGCAAACCAGGTGAACTAACGCAATCTTCCGTTCCATAGGCATTTATTGTTCTAGTGATTTTTTCTCCCAGGCCTATGCGAATTTAGCACTCAGTTTGTGTGATCCAGGAGATTCCGTGGTAATGTTTGCTCCATATTACTTCAATGCGTACACGACATTCCAGATGACTGGCATCTATGACATCGTCGTGGTTCCCAGTCATCCAGACACTTGTCATCCAGATCCAGGTACTTCAGCTTCTTTTTCTAATGATTCTCTACGAACATTTACAACAGAAATGCTGGAGAAAGCTCTTCGTGAGCATACCCCAAAGCCGAGAATTGTTAACGTTGTGAATCCTGGAAATCCTTCTGGTACTTATTTACCAGAGGAAACACTCAAGGCAAGATCACCTCTCTTGCGATATTTTCCTGGCTCTAAATTTCGTTTTTCGACACAGCGAATATCGGAGCTGTGCAAGAACGCTGGAGTTTGGCTCGTTGTAGACAACACGTACGAGTAAGTTTTTCCCCTATTCTTTGCTTTTTCTTTTCCTTAAACTTGCTACTTGAAGGTATTTCATGTACGATGGTCGCAAACACGTTTGCATCGAAGGTGACCACATACTAAACGTCTTTTCGTTCTCCAAAGCCTACGGCATGATGGGATGGCGAATAGGATATGTAAGAATCTCTACATCAAAACCATTTTTTCTCTCCTCCTTATCATTGCCTTGGTGGTGTTCACAGATCGCCTATCCATCAACAGTGCCCGGCTTTGGCGAGCAGCTGCTCAAAGTCCAAGACAACGTCCCCATTTGCGCGTCGATCATCGGGCAAAAACTTGCTCTGGCCGCTCTAGACGCTGGTCCTCAATGGGTCCTGGAACGAGTAGCGAGACTAGGCAAGAACAGGGCCATGGTTTTGGATGCTCTCTCGTCGCTGGGCCAAGGAGCTGTGAAAGGAGGCGAGGGGGCAATTTACTTCTGGGCCAAGCTTCCGGAGAAATTCCCAGACGATGTAGCAGTCGTGAAATGGCTGGTTTCCAAGCACAAAGTTATGGTGGTTCCTGGTAGCGCTAGCGGAGGAAAGGGGTGCATTCGAATCTCCTATGGTGGATTGGACGAGGGGAGCTGCGAAATCGCGGCGGCGAGGCTTAAAGCCGGCCTGGAAGAGCTTGTTCTTCGCGGTTGCGTCTAGGCGGGAAAAAGGTTTTAAATTTGAATTTGAATTGATTTTTAAACTGGCGGGCTAGGGCTAGGGCAAGGGCTTTTGGCGATGGAGAGTCCAGCAGCGCCTGTGGTGCCGGTGGAGCAGAAGGCCGAGCGCCTTCCACAGGATGCTGGAAAACTGGTTTTCTCGTTTGGATTCGAGGTGCGTCGCGAGAAATTCCGCTGTTCTTGGGATCGCAGCTGATTTTTCTTCTCTTTGTCTCGCAGGGAACACGGAGGAACAACATTTGCTACATCGAGCCTAGTATTCTAATGCACACTTGTGGAAACACCATTCACTTCCTCGACGTTAGAACCATGACTGCGACTTATCTTCCCGTGAGTTTTTGTGGTCCGGTCTTTCTTCCACCTTGTCATGCTTGGTTTTATGTTTTCTAGAGTGTTGGAGGTCTTGGGATTGGAGCAGTAGCGATCCATCCAACGAAGAAGTACTTTGCAGTGTGCGAGAAGGGGATTAATCCGAATATTTATATCTATGACTATCCGAGCTTAGTATACACGAAGGTATGGAGTTCAGTGTCTTTCTGATTTGAAATATATAATTTAAGGCAGGTTTTAAAAGATGGTACCGAGAGGCTCTTCAGCGCTGCCGCGTTTAAACACGATGGAAATCAGCTTGCAACAGTTTGTTTATTCTTTTCAATCTGAAGTTTTCCAGACATTTAGAATCGATGTTGTTGCAGGTTGGAGGCTATCCCGACTACTGGTTGACTGTATGGGATTGGCACAACGAGACAATTATCTTGAGAGCGAAAGCCTTCTCGCAGGAGGTTTTTAATGTAAGCGTGGTGGAATTTTTTAACTGAGCGTTGCTTATTTTGTTATGTGTTTCTTAATGCAGGTGTCTTTCTCGAAGTACTTCTCTGGTCAGTTGCTTACCTCTGGCGTTGGACACATTCGATTCTGGAATATGGCTTCCACTTTTACCGGAATGAAGCTAGAGGCAAGATATGAGGATAAAGCCTCTACATATTGTCTAATTCGTGCTCGAGTTTACGCAGGGTTTTATAGGAAAGTTTGGACAAGTACCACTAAGTGATATTGCCGGTTATGTAGAACTTTCCAACGGAAAGGTGTGGCTTAGCATTTGTATCCTCGTGTGCTAGATAATTCTCTTACTCAGGTCCTCTCCGGAACAGAGGGAGGCGGTATTATCGTATGGGAAGGCGAACTCGTCAAATGCCAATTAAAAAGAAAAGGAGGGCTAAGCTGCCATGATGGAATGGTGGAGATCACAATTCACGATACGGGGGTTAATGAGTTGATTACGTGCGGATCTGATGGATACATAAGGTTCTGGGACTTTGGAACGGTATGTAAAATTCTTGTAAAGCTGTTGTCTCATGCGACTGGTTTCTCTGAAGTGGTTGGACGCAGCTGATGATGGAGATGAGAAACTCATTTGCGAGGTGAATCCCCTTCGAGAGCTTTTCGTTGATCCGGAGTGTAAAATAAAAGGGATCTTGTTCGAACAAGACCATTGGATGATTCAGGTCGGTATTTCCGTTTTTTACCCGTCGCGACGACAAAGCTGACATGAGTTCTACGGAATGGACAGGATGAAGGTGGTGCATTATGGAGGGTGCATGTGCCATCGTTTGAGCTAGAGCAGATTCTGGAGTTCCATGCAGGGGCAATAGTTTCGATAGCGAGCTCGCCAAACAGTTATTACATTGCGACGGCAGGCACAGATGGCACCGTAAGCGAAAGGGGGTACACTTTGTTGTTACTCAAAGGCGCTCCTCACTTGCAGGTGAGGCTTTATAACTTCAAGCAGCAGAAACAAATATACAAGCGACGGTTTTCAGCACCGTGTACCACAATGATCTGGATGCCACGGACAGTCGATCCTGAATGCAAAACCATTGCTGTAGGATTTAAGGATGGAGTGGTGCGTATGCTGCAACAGTGCAGTACCAGATGGAGGCTTCTGCATGCAATGAAACCTCATAACGTAAGCATGGATAATATCATATCATGAAATGGATTTTCCTGCAGATGGAAGTCACAGGACTCAAACTCAGTCCGGATGGCGAGCTTCTGGCAACTGTATCAACAGATGCAACAATTTTTTTCTTCCATTGCCTCGAAAATTACAGGCCAATTGGGTACGTCTGCATATGTTTGGGAAAGTTATCAATTTACTATGTTGGCCTGTAGATTTTTTAAATTTGCAGCAGGAGTAGGGTGCTTGGATTGGTCTCCTAATGGGGACTACGTGCTATTGGCGTGTAAAAACTGCGAGATTCTTGAGGTTGCTCGACCACGTACGTCGACGTACTTTCTTTAAGTGATCGATCTGATCGTATCTTGTGATGCAGCATTACATCCAGATACCAAAGTTACGTATGAGCTAGCATTGCCGTCGAGAGCTATTTCGTTTCTTCTCCCAAAGATAAAAAAACCGAAACCGCCGCCACCTCCACAACAACCAAAACCGGCCAAGGTATTGATTGCAATGCCATGTTATTCTTCTTATTCCTGCTTTCAGCGTTGACTAGACAAGTGAAGGCGAAGGAGGTGAAAATCCTGAGGGTGCTTCAGCGACCGAGGGCACTCCTCCAGCAGAAAGAGCCTCTGGCGAAGGTCAAGCTGTTGAGGGAAAGGAAGGAGAGGCAGGAGAGGGAGGTGAAGGTGAAGAAGAGGGTGAAGAAGGACCTGAAGGACCTGAAGTAGCCGAAGGCGAGGGGGATGAAGGTGGAGGACGGGAAACAGAGGAAGGAAAGAATAAAAAGAAAAAGACAAAGAAGGCTCCCCCGCCGCCAGCAGTTGAAGAAGTCCTACCCGATGAGTTTTCCTCTTCATTCCAAGCAGGAGCATTGTTGTACACAAAAAGTAGCATGAACACATTCTACGTATCGCTAGAGGTGAGCACACTTGTCAACTCGTCATATTCTTACATTTGGAATTTTTCATTTCCAGGGGAAGACGGGATTGCTGTACGAATCTCATGCCGACTCTAAAGACGCTCTAGGATATGCGCCGTGGAGTCAAGGAACGCTAACTACGCTCGAGTACGTTACTCTTTTCTAGCTCAATTACGCTTCAACCATTGTTTAACTGTAGGTACACGCATTCGATGGAGTATGTTGTGTCAGGAACAGCTGATGGAGTCGTTCGCATCAATACTACTCCTCACGCTGGACAATTGGGTTTAGTACAGCAGCAAAAGTACTGGGAGGTATCAATGCGTAACATACAAGTTTCTCGTTTGACATTCCTTTACAGGGTAATGTTCACGATTGCTACTCGGGTTCCATTGGCAACTGTGTCATGAGCTATGACAATTTGTATTTGGTACTTGTTGTTGTTGCATTCTATTGAGTATCTAACCTGACATTCTCAGGCCAGTGTCGCCCATGATGGCAGCTTTTTCCTTTATGAGATGTCTTTGGAAACAGGGGCCCCTAGGCATCCTGATACAAAAACTAAAGGTTTTATGTTAATGGTGATACATTCCAGAGGCTGACTTTCACGTTTGTGCTGCATTTGGCAGATCTTGAAGATACTTTGCCAGACGCATCAGACGTCCCCCCTGGGGTCTATAGCATCGAGGATGACAAACAGAAAACGGAACAAGAAAACAAGCTCAGGACTGCATTGCAGAAGAAAAAGCTTGTCACTGACAGATTGGATAGGATCCGGCGAGAACTGGAAGAGCTTATCAGAGTAAACAAAGAAAAGACGCCAACCGAAATGATTCCTTTCGAGACTTTTGAGATAGACTCGAGTTTGAGGGGGTAAGAACTTTCGAGTATTTTAGTATTTTAGTCATGGCTTATTTTTACAGTATACTCGAAAACGAGATCAAGGAGAAAGTAAGAAGTGCTCGCGAAGAATTGCAATGGGAGAGTGAAAGGAGCGAGATTGCACTATCCAAGCTTCGGGCGTTTCTGCTCGATCCTCTGGAGGTCTGCGTTGTCCTTGCGTTTATTCTAATAGTCAGAATTTCTAGTGCAGGTCGAGCATATTGTTTTGCATGCATTCCGAACAGATGGCCATGTCTCTAGCTTTCGCACGGAAAAGCTTTCCCCAGAAATGAAGGTTGGTACCAGGAACAAGAAAAGTATGTTTCTGTAATTGTTGCTTCTGCTGATTAAGATGATAGAAGAAGCAAAAGCTATCACGGATGACAAAAGCAAAACCCAAGAAAAAGATGCTGAAGATGGCAAGGTGTGTATTCACTCGTCGGCATTTATTTGCTTTAATACTTTTGGTATGTCTTGTAGGAAGGTGGTGAAAGCGTTGTTTCCGAGCCAGAAGAAGGTGAAGACGACGATATCATCACAAAACAGGATTTGAGAAGGCTCAAACTTAAGAAAAAGGAGGATGAGTATGAAGATTACCTGAAGACAAAGCCAGATGATGTGTGATTGATGCTATCAAAGTTACAAGGATCTCATGCAAGTTTCCTTGGTCTTTGTTTATAGGCTTATGCCAACCCGGAGGACCTTGAGGCCATAAGGCATGCAGAGAACACAAAAGGAGATTTCAAGCTAAAGACAGACCTGACATATGTGCCACCGGTAGAACAAAGAACAAATGCCGTGAAAAAGAGAAATGAAATGGTCTTTTTATACGAAGCCATACACGACCGAAAGATGAGCTTCAACAGTGAGTTTCTCTCTCTCAGAGAAAAAAAGAAGCAGATAAGATTCCAGATAACACAACGAAATTCAAGGATTTCAGAGATCAATAATCTGCTCAGGTATTTTCTTGTGCCGGAATGGAAACTTACAATGCTGTTGCTGTTGCTGCTACAGGATCAAAGAGGAACCTTTATACAGTCCTCTAACTTTCAAAGATGAAGCGCCGGAAGAGCGGAACAACATTACTAAGAAAGTATGTGTTGTATCCCTTTCATGAACGGGCTCAAACATTCTATCTGTACAGGATCTGGACGACTACATTGAGAGGAAGAGGAAAGCAGAGATGAAAGTGGAGGTATTCCTTTTGTCTACACACACTGCTATGTGGTTCAAGAAAACAAAGTTTTGTGTGTAGGAAAAAGATAAAGGTGGTGGCTTCGGAGGATTCGGTGGTGGCCCTGTCAAAAAGGTGGAAAAGAAGGCAGAGAAGGCTGAAAAGGGAGCTGAGAAAGCCGAAGAAAAGAAGGCAGCCGACCCTCAACGAAAAATGTCTAGGAAAATGTCAGAAAGAGTTTCAAGGAAAACGATAAGAGAGGGTGAAATAGCATCAACAACATCAGCGTTGCGTGCTCCTTCGATCCTGGAGGTAAAAAATGTTCTGTGTTTTGGTTTTTGAGCTGGTTTTTCTGTGCTGCAGCAAGCTGAACAGGAAGCATTTATTGTGAAACTGAAATATGAGAAGGCGCTGAATAAAGAGAGAATTGATTTGCTCATCTCTACATTTGATAGTGATTTGGAGGACTTGAGGAATCGGAGGTTTACGCTCGACATAAAAATCAAGGGTGCTGAACTGAAGATGCTCATCCTTTATCAAGTAAGTTTTTTGTACACGCTTCTGTTCTCTTTCCAAGTGTTTGTCTCGAGTATTGATGTTTCAGGAGCTTAGACTTCTTCAAACTCTTCAACCCAAGGAGCAAGCTCTACAAAATCGCCATACTGCTAAGCTGCTTGAAGCGGAGGACCTATTAGTAAGATCTTTTGTCAATGATGCCAGGATCAGCAATAAATTTTTAAATTTTTTGTGAACAGTCGAAAATAAGCGACCAAGAAAAAGCTGTGGAGTTGAAAAAGCAAGAGGTGGCTGGATTGCAAGACAAGAAGCAACAGGTTCGCAGTAAAACTGTTGTTTTGCTAGTTTTGTTATGGTCTATGTGCAGCTCTTGGTGGAGTTCGAGCAAATGATGGGAGAAAACAATCCGTTCAGGGACACTCTTTACAAAATCTACACAAAGAAGATGAAACGACCGAAGCCAAAAGAACCTGGTGAAGAATCGGATTCGGAAGAGGAATCGGATTTGGAAGAAGAAGGCTCCGATGAAGATTTTGAAGAAGAAGAGGTTTGTAGCGCATGCAATGGAACAAAATATGGTGAGTTCTTTTTCAGACACCCGAAGTATGTCCCAGTGGATGCGAGGAGTCCCTGTATGCAAGCGTGCTTGCTCTACGTGAAAGACGTCTTGACGTCGACGAAGCCCTCGTGGAGAACGTGAAACTTCTAGACAGTAAGATCTTTCTTGTGTTTACGTTTCGCTTTGCTAACATCGGTGTGCCACAGGCATGCAAAGAGAGAAAGAGACGAAGTTGAAGAAGAAAAAAGGAATAGACGTTGCTCTCGAGACAATCAAACGCGAGCTAGGGGAGTTTCAGAAACAGAAGCAGACTGCCTTGAATCAGATCGACGTCGCAGTCACACTTTACATGCATCAAGTAAGTTAGTATTCTCCCCTTGTCGTTGATTTCCAGCTTACTGGCGTGCCACAGGTCGAGTACATCGAAAATGCCGCGATTCCCAAAGACCTGTCCGGTGGCCTCGTCTTTACAAACGCCTCGTTGAAGCAACTGAGAGCGACGATTGAGAGGCACGTAGCCGAGAAGGCGGCACTGAGGAGATTGCAAAAGGACCTGCGAAAGGAGTACGCGGCACTGGTCCGTGAACGAAAAGCTGAGGAAGAAAACACTACCGATACGGAGCAAAGAGTCATTGACGTGCAAATGCTCAGATTTGGACAGGTTTGCCAAGCTTTTCCAATTTTTTTTCTTTTCCTCGCTGGTGTTTGCTTATTGGTATTTCCAGGTGATTGACCTCTCCGTTGTGGAGCTTATACGTGTCAGGAGGGACACTTTAGAGCTTAAGGATAGAGTCAAGCAGCAAGAAGCAGAGTACAGTGCCGAGCTTGGCGAGTTGAGCCGCAATTTGGACGATGCCACTGACGAGCTTGCACGTAAGTTCTAGTTTTGTCCATCTAGCTTGAATTTCTTTCCTTCTCTTTTCCTGGAACAAACAGGTGCTATGCGAGAAAACTCAGCCTCGCTGTACACAATAGCTGATCTTCAGGAGAAACGCAATGCCATTGAAGCGGCAAGTCACAGACATTTCCCTCTCGCTGCTAAGTTTTTCTCACGGTTGTCTCTCGCAGAGCATGAAAATCAAAGCGAGAGCCACATTCCGAGATCCGCTGATCGAAAAGCGTCGAGACGCAGCAGAGCAAGAGCGATTGCGCCAGGTACTCACAAATCTAAGATGAAAAAAAAGAAAAATACTCACGAAGAAAACTCTCGGCTTGTACAGATTGTTGTCCGGAACGCTCAAGTCATGGACAGCCTCGAAGGCCAATTAAACTACGCCCACGACAACTTCGAATCAATCTTCCCATAGCAAACGAGCTCGGCTTGATTGTTTGATTGTCTTTCGAAGGCTTATACAACAACAAAACGGCTTATAAGTAGCACACGTATATCAACGACTCACCGGGAGAGAAGTTCACTCGTAAAGCTTCTCGGCAAGGCGCGGCGTCGCAACAGCTTGGACAGGATTCGCCATGAACGTCACGACACCCGGACGCTCCGTGAGGTCGATCTTCTCGGGCTTCACTCCCGGCGGTGGTGCCCAGGAGAATTGGTGGAGGAGCCGAGCAACCATGAGCTGGACCATGTTGAGACCGAGCTGAGCTCCCGGGCAGATCCTCCGGCCAGCGCCGAAAGGTAGGAGCCTGTAGTCGTGGCCTTTGATATCAACGTCCTCTTCCAGGAACCGCTCGGGGCGAAACACCGACGCTCGCTTCCACACCTTGGGGTCTCGCCCGATCGCGTAAACGTTGACGTGAACGATGGTCCCTTTGGGGATGTCGTAGCCTCCGATCTTGACGCGGGTGGTGGCCTTGTGTGGGAGCATGAGCGGCGTCGTTGGGTGGAGCCGGAGTGCCTCTTTGACGATGCTCTGGAGGTATGGCAGCTGCTGGACGTCCACCTCGGTGATGATCCGCTCCTTTCCGATCACTCGGTCCATCTCCTCGTGAGCTTTCTCCTGGACTTTCGGGTGCTTGATGATCTCGGCCATCGCCCACTCGGCTGATATGGCCGTGGTGTCCATCCCCGCGGTGATCATGTCCTGGAAATACACGAAGAACAGACCGTCAACTTTCGAGCTCCAAGTTCTAGCAAGAAAGATATCTCGCAGAAGGAAGTTCTTACCCAGAGGAGGCCGATCACGGTGGTCTCGCTGAGACCATACTGGTCCTTGAGATTGAGCAGCGCGTCCACGAAGTGTTCCTGGCTCGTCCCACTCTTCTTCTTCTCCAGCGCGTGCTCTTCCATGATCTCCTTGGTGAGGCTGTCTCTCCTGGCGCCGTGCTTGGCGAATTCCTCCTCCTGGAGCGGGAACATCCAGCGGATGAAGGAGATGTGCTCCGCCATGGTGAGCGACGCCCCGAGCTTCATCCCCTGCGAGATGATCGCCTTAAACTCCACGCCCTGCGGCAGCATCTCTCCATTCTCGTCCACGAACCTCTTCCCGAAGACGATCCTCGTGATGTTGTTGAACGCCACCGCCGAGACGTAGTTCTTCACGGTCACCGCCGCGCCACCATTGTTCTTCACGTCCTGGAAGATGGACTTCACCATAGCGCCCACTTCCTCCTCGCGGATCCATCGCAGGGACTCGAGTCTCTTGGGCGTGAAGAGCTCCAGCGTACACAGCTTCCTCACCTTCACGAATCCATCACCATTGTCAGCGAAGAAGGAAGAAGGAAGAAAGAAATTCTAGAGTTCTCACAACCCTTCTCACCTTGACATAGTGGTCGCCATAGTCGGCCCAGATGAGATCCTGGCCGTTCCTGGAGAACCTAGCAGCAGCGCGCGTGAGCGGCCGCGATGCGAGCTCCTTGTCCTTCTCCTTGAGCACCTCCTTGGCGAGCTCGGCATTGGAAATTACCACATTGAGATTCGTCCCCATCCACACTGACATGATCGGCCCGTGCTTCTCCGCCCAGTCCATGAAGCATCGAAATCTCACCGGCGACACGCGATGGAGGCTCCCGATGATCGGCCATGGCTTTGGCCCCGGCGGTAGCCGCGGCCTCGAGAGGAGCTTGAATGTAAGGTAGACCAAGAACAAACCCACGGGAATCGTCCAAGTCGAGTAGCGATGGCCGTGATCCGGCGGCACGAACTCCGTGTAGTGGTGATGGTGGTGGTGATACGCTTCCGCCGAGGGATCCATAGCCAGAGCTCTGCAGTGAATCTAAAGCAAAGAGCGCATAAACCCTAGAAGCTCGATCTAACGGTCTTAAAAGGCCCACGTGGATAGCGCTTGGCGTTAGGTGTGGAATGGAAGGTAAAGGTCTTTTTATAAATTTAAAGCCTTGACTTTGGCGGGAAAAGATATTTTAGGGCAGCTTCAATGCGTTGGAGGAGATCAAGAACGCGGCACGCCGCTCGCGTCCCTTGATTCTCTTCGCCGTGGATCTCACAGGCAGCGAGCAGCGTCCTCCATGCGACGGCGTCTTCTTTTCTTGTAATCCGAGCGAGCTCCTCCGCTTCGTCGAGCCGCTTCACCCGGCCCAGGGTTTGGAGACGCTCTGGCAGCCGCTCCAGGTGGAAATTCATGGCCATGGAGTCGGGATCACTGCCGCGCAGTAGCATCTCGCAAGATATTTCGATATCTCGCTCGCAGTCCCCGCTCTGCGCAATCGCGGTGATCAAGACGTTCCATGACACGGAGTCCAGCTCTTGCGCCGAATCGCTGTTCCTGGCGCTGTCGAGCAGGCCATTGTGCGCGTAAGTGCTCGCCATCGCATTCCAGGTGAGAATATTTCGCTCTGGAATCTGTGTGAAGCTCACGATCGCTTCCTCTATCAGGCCGTTCTGCCCGCACGCGACGATCATCAAGTTCCACGACAAGAGATCCCTCCCAGGAATTCTGTGGATCACGGCTCTGACCTCTTCGATCTACTGTCCCCGGTGAGCAAACGCCGAGAGCAGCCAGCTCCAAGACGCCAGATCTCTGTGTCTCATCGCATCAAACTGGAGCTTGCCGTCCTCGACCGATCCAGCTCGAGCAAAGGCTCTGATTCTCAGAAACCAGGCTCATCTGACAACGATCTCGTGGGCGGCATGGGCATCGCATCTCGAGTAGGCGGCAATCATCGCGTTCCAGGATCTGGCGAAAGAAGATTTTCTGGGTGTTCTTCACATCGCCGCTCTCGGCATAGGCCTGGATCATCGCGGTGAGCACGACGAGATCGTGCTGCGGCATCCTCTCCACAACCTCTCGGGCCAGCAGGCGCGAGTAGGAACTCACCAGCGCGGTCCAGGACACGGCATCTCGCTGAGGAGCAGCGTCGAAGGTCTGTTTCGATCGATCATCCTGGCTGCTAACCGAGATCATCGTGTTCCAGGACACTCGATCCCACATTGGCATCGCCACGAAGATCTCTCGCGCCTCGTTGCCATCGCAATCTCTAGCCGCGAGTAGCAACAGCGCGTTCCAAGAGAATCCATGTCTCTTGGGCATGGCCAAGAACAAGCTCCTCCCCTCGCAAAGATCCCCCCTCTGGGCATATGCCTGGAACATCAAGTTCCACGTTACTAGGCTCTTACAGCACCAGAGATTCCGGAATACGTCCAGCTTGGCAGTACGCCCCAAATGATCCTTGTCCACGTGTTGGAATCTCGCTGTGCATTTAGAGCACATTCCAAATTCCCTGCCTGGGGATATGCGTGGAGGACGGTGTTCCAGGCGCAAGGCATCTTCTCAAAAACTTCCATGGCATCCCCAAGATTCCCAAGAGATACAATCTTGGCGGGGCATATTCTCCAGGATTCTGGCATATGCCCATATGCCGCAACAGTGATATTCCGTGATATTCGATAGTGTAGGAGACGTTCCTAGCGCCGTACAGTCTCCCGAGCTTACCGTACATTTCAACGAGCGCGTTGGAGAGGAATGTATTGTCTCTGAGCTCTGGAGTGGAGAAAATCTCCTCATGAATCGCCGATGGAGAGGAGAAATCTCTAGATATATATTTTTTATTTTAAACATTTACCTTGTTTACGTGCACGCAGTAATATTCCAACAATATTCCGACAGCCAGATAAATCATACTTTTACTTGAATGTCCACTTAGGGTTCTAGAATATTTTCAAACAAGAAGTAGAGAGAGAGAGGGACGATGGAGCGCAAGATTTCGATCGCCGACACAATTCTCAAGGACGATCCCTCGAATGCAAAGGCGATCCTCTCAAAGGCAAACGCGCTCGCTGAGCTTGGAGAGTACCGGCTCGCCCTGGCCACTCTTGATGAGGCGCCATCGATGGACCAGATCCAAGAACTCCAGGCGGCCGCTCAAGAATGGGACAGGCAGAGCACAGTCGGACGCTTCGATCTATCGGCCTATATTCTCAGCGGATGCCAGGACGATGTCAAGTTTGGGAATTTCGTTGGTCCAGGGACGATCGTGAGCGTGCCGGGCAAGGGTCGCGGCTTCATTGCCACCGAGGACGTGGAGGCCGGCCAGATTCTCCTCTGCGAGAACCCCATCGTCTTCAGGTATGTAGTTTCGATCGATTTTGCACCCGATCCGGCCAAAGACTGATTCTTTCTTTCTCCCGCCGATCCGCGCGGCAGCTATGGATCGTTCGACATGAACCAGCTCAAGGCGTCGCTCCAGGAGGCGGCAAAATCTCCCAAATTGATGACGAAGCTCATGGCTATGGAGGGCACCACGATCCCAGCGATGGCTATCTTCACGCCCAACTCAGGTGTGGTGGATCTTGGCAGCGCCAAGCCGATCGCACTCCAGCGGCTTATGAAGATCGTAGTCGACAAGATCACCTGGGGACATCTCTACTGCGCGCGCAACGGGATGCTTCGTCCACAGGCATTCTATGGCCTCTGGCCGGTGCTCGCCTTCGTCAACCATTCGTGCTCCTACAATGCCTCGATCGCCTTGGTTGGCCAGGCAATGTTCCTCGTCGCCAGCACCAGGATCCGGCGTGGGGAGGAGATCGTCTTCTCGTACGTTGATCCGTGCCAGCCATACTTCAATCGCCACAATGTGCTCGGCTTCCAGTGTAGCTGCCGCCGCTGCTTGCTAGAGCTCCAGCGCCCCGCCATCACCAAGCTCAAGGCTAAGTTCACACAAGCCTGCCAACACTACGAGTCTGGAGAACGCAGCACTCTTGCGGCCATGGCCAACGACGCCAAGAAGTTGGCGAGAAAGGAGGGAGATAAGCTCGCCAAGGCATGGATTCGCACCATCTTCTGGGTGTGCTACCGCGTCAACCTCGGCCAGGAAAAGGCTGCCATCTCCTTCGATGATGCCTGGGAGCTCCACCGGGAATGCACTCCCGGCCAACTCGGCCAGCTCTCTTTCATCGTCAAGCGTCAACGCCGCGCCTGTGAGCCGATCAACAAGTTTGATGTTCTGAGAGCCTTCTCTCTAGGATTCCCGATCGTAGCTGTCGAGGACGAGGCTGTGGCTGCAGCCATCCTTAACTTAGTTCCCGCATAACGGTATGATTTCATCTGTTTTACATTTGTTTCATACAGCTCTTGACAATTCTCCCATTTGTTTCATACAGCTCTTGACAACTCTCCCATCTTTAGAACACTACCGCTAATGGTATGGTATGAGTTTTTCTTTTTATTCTTGTTTCGTTCAGCTCTAACAGTTATCGCATTTTTAGGATGAAAAAATGTGAGCAGCGTGCTCCTCGGCTATGAGCATCGCTTTGCTGATTCCATCAACGTTGCTGCCCTGAAACAATATGGACATGTAAACAAGACGAGAAACTAATACAAGGAAGGAGCTTACTTGTCCCTGAGCAAACATGGACTTGCCACCACCGTTCCCATTCAATGGCTCCAAAGCCTTTCTCAGCCACTCGACAGCACCGACTCCATTCCCCGCCACGAAACTTGGGACTCCAGCGCAGACCAGCACCTTTCCCGCCACTGAATCGACACTGAAGATCATCGTCGCAACGCTCTGAAAATTAACACACCGCGGCAAGAAGTCATGATTGGTGATCGATCGAAAACACAGCCTTACTCTCTCGGTGCCTGCTGCAACACCTTCCCGGAGAGCAGTCGTGTCGAGGCCAACGTCGACTCTTAGAACAGACCATTTGAGGCCCCGCAAAACTGCCTGACCCACACAGCAAACTGTCGTCTCCATTGTTCTCTGCAGATTCAAGTCCAGAGCCACCTTCTTTTGGAGCTTGACACGTTGCTTACATGTGAAAGAAACATGCCGATGAGATATCAAAAACTCGATGCGCGAAAACTCTAGTACCTGGAGCTCGCTAAGTTGCTGCTGCAAATAGACCTTCCGAACTAGTGGAATTTGCGAGAAGTTTTTAAGTGCAGCGAGTTCCTGTTTGTTTACAATCCAAAGACTTTAATATGAATCACAACGCAAATTCCAACTTGCCTTTTCTAGCTCTGTGAGTTCCAGCGAGTAGGCGTTGGACACACGCGCAGAGAGTTCTTCCGCACGCTGGATAGCCTCCTTTGCGAGGTTCCCAGTCACCGCAACCAATCGCCTCGTACCCTTGGCGACTCCCTCTTCCGAGACAATAGCAAATGCCTCGGCCTGTCTAGTGTTCGAGAGGTGCGTTCCTGATAGTCGAATTTAGCGAGCTTTTTCGTTGCTAAACGATATCAACTTACCTCCGCACAGCTCCACTGAATGGGTCATGCAAGATGGATCATTAAGTAGCTTGGAGACTGGCTCGCCGATGGCCACAACCCGAACGGGATCAGGATAGATCTGGCGACAAAAGTTTCTTATATAGAGATGACTTTGAGGATTCATAGATACCTCGCCAACAACAGTCCGGAGTCCCTGTATCTTTCTTGCCTTCTCAAGGCTTATTTCGCTCGAAAACACCTCGCAGCCGTCACGCACGAGCACTGACACCATGTCTTCTATCTTTTTAAGCTCTTGGATTTCAATCCTTTGCCCTGTAAGGGAAACAGTCAAACCATGAATATACATAGAAAGCACGTAAAACATATTTAAAATGGATCAGTACCATGGCTAAAGTCGAACCTCAGCTTGTCATGGGACACCAAGGAACCTTTCTGCTCGACATGATCTCCGAGCACAGCCTGATTAGCAACACATCTGCATCAAAATCAAGAACATTGGTTGCGATACATACTCTTAATGCACTGCTCAAAAGATGAGTGCTTGTATGATTTGGTGCTATCATCGACCGAATAGAGTAGTCTACCTGCAAAATTTCCATTAGAAAAAGGCAAAAAGAAAGAAAAAAAAAGAAACCTTTGCAAAAACGATGTCTCCAACAGACAAAGCCCCTCGAGGGACTCCATAATGCACAACATATCCACCATATGATTGTACATTGAGCACTTGGAACGAGAAAACACTAGATTCTATTGCCCCGACATCGTATATCTGCAAGGCAACAATGGAATTTAAATATTGAAAGAAAATTTATATATCACCTGGCCTCCTTGCTCTGCATAGAAGGTAGTGGACTTAAGTATCAAACCGACGACTTTGCCATCGTGGTTTGCTTCAAGGGTTTGTGTCAAGCCATCGGCAGTAACAATCGCTGCCACTGTGGTTTGATGATCGTCATAACCTTGGTATTTACCCCGGTCATTGGTTGGACTTATCCCGCACTTTTGAAGCTGGGCTATCTCCCTAGATTCCAGTGCGAAGACATTCCCACGGGCCTGATCCATTAAAATAGTTACAACTTCAGTAAATCATGTCAATATTACTTGCCTTGGAACGAGCAGTGCGAGCTTTTTGCTTTGCATTTTCCAATTCGTGATGAAAGCCATGCACGTCCACATGGAATCCATATTGCTCTTGAGCCATGAGCTGCAGGCACGTAAACTCAATAAGTAATTACTCGAACAAGACGATTTCGACAAACCTGTGTAAGATCGAGAGGAAAACCATAAGTGTCCCAGAGCAAAAATGCTTCCTGCCCACTAAACATGCTATTGTTTACATCAGCAGCTGCTTTATGAAATCGTTCAACACCCTGCCACATACAAACGAAGAAAAAAAAAAGATAAACACATTACATCCACACTGTCGGCATTACCTTTGCTAACGTTCTCGAGAAACAAGCTTCTTCCTCTGCAAGAACTCTCTTGACACGATCACTCGCCGTTCTCAGCTCTGGATACGCATCACCCATAGTTTCTACAACAGCATCGACCAAGCTGAAACGAAATAGTTCAAAACACCTCACAGATTTTTCAAGTGAAATACCCGCTGAAGAAACCATCTCCACCTTTCATGATGTCAATGCCATATCGAATTGCCCGTCTGAGAATACGCCTCAACACATGACCAGGCCCTTCATTACCTGTTCAAGCCACTAAATTCGCTTAGGGAAAAAAAAAAAAAAAAACTTTTAAAAGACCTGGTTGACAGCCATCAGCAATAGCAAACGTAAGTGTTCGTACATGATCAGCTATTACTCGGTAAGCAGTGTCAATGAGATCAGTATCATCCTTTCCCATTTTACCGGAGTATGGCCGTGCACCTGTGGCCTGTATTGCCATTCGTTAAAGAAAAAGCTTTACGAGGCACAACATACCTTTTGGATTGCTTCAAACAGCGGAAGAAACAAATCAGTGTCGTAGTTGCTTGATTTGTTTTGAAGCACGGACACGAGACGCTCAAGGCCCATTCCCGTGTCGATACTTTGCGTTGGAAGGGGCGTGAGCTTGCCATCGGTTTCTCTGTTGAACTGCATTGGAGATGAAGATAGTTAGCTTCAGTGTTGTAAGAGAAACCATAGTCACACCTGTATGAACACCAAGTTCCAGATCTCAATGCACATAGGATCGTCACTATTCACGAGAGAAGCTGCATCGCGATCTCCGATCCTATCGAAGTGAATTTCACTGCAGGGACCGCAAGGCCCAACTTCACCCATCTCCCAAAAATTATCCTACAGAGGAGCAAAGTAAAGAAAAAAAGGAAAACGCTTGAAAGAGTGCCTAAAGCTTACCTTGCAACCAAAGGGAAGAACACGGTCATGAGGTAAAAACTTGAGCCAGATATCTCTGGCCTGGAGATCCGAAGGGAGGCGTAGTTTTTCATCACCGCCGAAGTATGTGACATAGAGGCGATCTTGAGGCAGCTTGTAAACCTTGACAAACAGTTATCAAACCAGAAAGGAGGGAAAAGAAAATGCAAAGCTTACGAAACCAGGATCGGAGGAGTTTTTACCTGCGTAAGAAGTTCCCAGGCCCAGTTGATCACCTCCTCTTTGAAATAGTCACCAAAGGACCAGCTTCCTAGCATCTCAAAGAAGGTGTGGTGGTAGCTATCCTTTCCAACGTCGTCCAGATCGTTGTGCTTGCCTCCAGCGCGAATGCACTTCTGGCTGTTACACGCACGCCGGAGCGCGCTCATGGAGCCCCCATTTCCCAGCAACAGTCGCTTGAATTGGACAACACCTGGATAGCAAACAAACAAGAGCGTGAGCGATCCAGCCTTCGAATCTCACCCGAGTTCGTGAAGAGGAGCGACGCATCGTCCGGTGGAGGTAGGACGGGGCTGGATCGAACGAACTTGTGATCGCGACGCTCAAAGAAGTCGACAAACGTGTCTCTCGCCTTGGTCCCGGACCACTCCATGTTTGATTTAGGGTTTAAGGGTTTTGCCTTTTAAATGGCAAAACTTTAGGGCAGGCACTATGCTTAGAATATTCTGCTATCGCGAGAGAGAGAGAGAGAGAGAGATGATGCGGCTTCACGAGTTTGGAGCTTTTGGTCATGGCAGAGTGTCAATGAATCTCTTTCAAAGTCCCTTTATTGGGTGCCTCATTCATATAGATGCTTGAGATAGGTGATCCAAATATCTTCGGTTCGTGTTGGCTGGCTATGTTAGTTAGCAGAAGATTGCTTGGGTACGCTCAGCCTAGGGTTATAACAGAGGTCTGCTCAACTAGCTGACTCAATCCCTGTGCAGCCGAGCAGAATGAGAGTGCCACGGTCTTAATGCAGCCAACCCTTCACATCTACAGGGACATGAGATTCTCCAATCCTTCTTGGATGTTCTCTGCCTAATGCTAGTCTTGTTGAAGCTCTTTGTCCGCTGCTGCTGAATGAAGCTCCAGCTTCAACTACTTACTTCAGCCAATCTCAGAATGTTTACTCGCCTCCAGGCTTCATGGACAGCCTCACCAGCAGCAACACCCGAGGCCAAGCGGCAGAGAATGCAGTGTGGACTCCCACAAGTTCTCTTCAAGGTATAGAATTTTTTTTAGCGAGAGACTTTTACACCAGACTTGATAAACCGATCACGATGGATGGTTGCTCTATACGCTCAACATTTTGAAATACTGGTGATGGCTGAGCAGTGACAGTGCTCAGCCATAGCTAAACCAATGCAATGACAAACTTCTTTCTTTTTATTTGGATTGCTAGTAATACTTTCGAGTTTTGAAAGTAAGTCACTTAGTTCAGTCTTCTTATCTGATGGAAAGTCCTCTACAGCTGTGTCAGAGCTGTTCTTATATCCAATTTCACCTTAGATTTGAACTTTCATTTTACAGCATAATTGAAACCCACTCATACTTACAAGAACTTTCCATGGTTTGGACCATGGAACCCGAACCAAAGATGCATAAAGCATCTTCATCCATGATAAGAACGAAAAAGTTACCCATGAATGGAATGCTCTCAAAGTAAAAAGCTTGGATGACCATTGATCCCAGCAAGTGGTGTCCATCGAATATTTCTTCATCTAGCTCAGGCATTGGCTCAATGGTTTTCAAAAGCCACTAGCTATCCAGTTCCGCGCTACCTGGGGGAATGGCGAACACAATCTCGAACACCATTTGAATCACAGCACTCTTTGGTCATTGCTACCTTGAATGCACTGCTTGAGATTGGCCAAAGCTTGTTCAGCCATGTTTCTAAAGGACGGATCCATGTCCTTATGGTGTAGGAAGCGATCTCCAGTTCTTGCATAGCCTACCAATCTGACTGCAGCCTAGCCGAACAGTCACAAAACCCTAAATCGCAGCCAGCAAGAATTTACGTATTTCCTTCATGTTTTCGTCAAAAGATTCTGTTAGATTCCACAGAATCAATACATATAATGTACACAATGACCATATTATCATTGGTACAAAAATCCCCTGGGTTTAACACGAGGATCGTGCGCTTGGCGAATTCCTCCTCCTGGAGCGGAAACATCTAGCAAATGAAGGTGCTCCACCATGGTGAGGGACGCATCGAGCTTCATCCCCACCTTAAACTCCACACCCTGCGGCAGTATTTCTCCAAGCTCGTCCACGAATCTCTTCCTGAAGACGATCCTGGTGATGTTGTGAAATGCCACTGCCGAGACATAGTTCTTTGCGGTCACAGCCACGCCACCATTGTTCTTCACGTCCTGGAAGATCAAATTTAACATAGCAACCTCGCGGATCCATCGCAGGGACTCCGTGTCTCTTGGGCGTGAAGAGCTCCAGACTGCACAGCTTCCTCACCTTCACGAACCCATCGCCATTGTCAGAAGACCTCTTGCTCGTGGATAGCGAGTGGCATCTCTTTTGTATTTTTTTTTAATTTTAAAGGCCTGGCGGGAAGATATTTTAGGGCAGCTTCAATGCGTTGGAGAGGAGAATGTAAGGTGATCCATTCTCCGGCTCTAGATCAAGAACGCGGCACGCCGCTCGCGTCCCTCGATTCTCTTCCCCGTGGATCTCACAGGCAGCGAGCAGCGTCCTCCATGCGACCGCGTCTTCTTTTCTTGCAATCCGAGCGAGCTCCTCCGCTTCGTCGAGCCGCTTCACCCGGCCCAGGGCATCGATCAGGCAGTGGAGATGCTCTGGCAGCCGCTCCAGGTGGAAATCCGTGGCCATGGAGCTGAAGAGATTGATCGCGTCTTGGATTTTCCCGGCATGGCCACATCCGGTGAGCATCGCGAGGATCGTCACGGCGTCGGGATCACTGCCGCGCAGCAGCATCTCGCGAAATATTTCGATATTTCGCTCACAGTCCCCGCTCTGCGCGATCGCGGTGATCAAGACGTTCCATGACACGGAGTCCAGCTCCTGCGCCGAATCGATGATGTTCCTGGCGCTGTCGAGCAGGCCATTGTGCGCGTAAGCGCTCGCCATCGCATTCCAGGTGAGAATATTTCGCTCTGGAATCTGTGTGAAGCTGACGATTGCTTCCTCTACCAGGCCGTTTTGCCCGCACGCGACGATCATCAAGTTCCACGACAATAGGTCTCTCCCAGGAATTCTCTGAATCACGGCTCTGGCCTCGTCGATCGACTGTCCCCGCTGAGCATACGCCGAGAGCAGCCAGCTCCAAGATGCCAGATCTCTGTGGCTCATCGCATCAAACTGGAGCTTGACGTCCTCGACCGATCCAGCTCGCGCGAAGGCTCTCAACATCAGATTCTCGGAAACTAGGCTCCTCTGAGGCATCGCTGCAAAGATCTCGTGGGCGGCATGGGCATCGCACCTCGAGTAGGCGGCAATCATCGCGTTCCAGGACACCGCATTCCTGTGTGGCATCTGGCGAAAGAAGATTTTCTGGGTGTTCTTCACATCGCCGCTCTCGGCATAGGCCTGGATCATCGCGGTGAGCACGACGAGATCGTGCTGCGGCATCCTCTCCACAACCTCTCGCGCCAGCAGCAGATCCCAGCGCGAGCAGGAACTTACCAGCGCGGTCCAGGACACGGCATCTCGCTGAGGAGCAGCGTCGAAGGTCTGTTTCGATCGATCATCCTGGCTGCTAACCGAGATCATCGTGTTCCAGGACACTCGATCCCACATTGGCATCGCCACAAAGATCGCTCGCGCCTCGTCGCCATCGCAATCTCTCGCCGCCAGTAGCAACAGCGCGTTCCAAGAGAAACCATCTCTTTCAGGCATCGCCAAGAACAAGCTCCTCGCCTCGCAAAGATCCCCGCTCTGGGCATATGCCTGGAGCATCAAGTTCCACGTTACTAGGCACCTCTGGGGCATCTTGTCCAACAGCACCAGAGATTCCCGAATACTTCCAGCTTGGCAGTACGCCCCAATGGTCCTCGTCCACGTGTTGGCATCTCGCTGTGGCATCGACTCCAACACATTTAGAGCACATTCCAGATTCCCTGCCTGGGAATATGCGTGGAGGACGGTGTTCCAGGCACGCAGGTCCCTGTATGGCATCTTCTCAAAAACTTCCATGGCATCCCCAAGATTCCCAAGAGATACAAAGCCCGCGATGACGCTCGTCCACGCTACAACGTCTCGGTGGGGCATATTCTCAAAGAGTCTAAAGGATTCCGGCATATGCCCATTCTGGGCATATGCCGCGACCGCAATATTCCACGAGTGTAGGTTGGGGCAGGGGATGGAATCGAAGACGTTCCTGGCCTCGTACAGTCTTCCGAGCTTGCCGTACATTTCAACCAGTGCGTTGGAGAGGAATGTGTTGTGTCTGAGCTCTGGAGAGGAGAGAATCTCTTGGTGAATCGCCGCTGCCTTGCGGTGGTCTTTGAGAGCGCCACACAGCTTTGCCGAGCTTGCCAAAGAGAGTATCCTGCGGAGCTCTTCCCGCATGGAATTGAGATGGAGAGGCAAACTTGCCTCATTGCAGGAGAAATCTCTAGCTCAAGTGTCTTTCTTTTTGCCTACGAATGGCTTTTGCCGTTCTTTTCTACGTTGATAGCGCTCTCGTCTGCAATTCCACTGTCAAGTCCCTCACGCCAATGTCATTGTAGACGCTGTGGGCGTGTTTTAGAATGGCTTGCTCGTCGCTGCCTTCTTTCACCTGTGGATTCGACTTGAGACATTCAAAGCTAGAAAGAAGGATTTTTAGAAATTCTTGCCTCGAGGAGAAGCGTCCCCACGACAAAGCCAGGGACGAGTTCCCAGAAACGAGCACGATAACACTCTAGCACGCCTTCAAGTGATCCCACCTGGGAAAAAAGTTAAGCTTAAGCTTAGTAGCTGGACGAGAGACTATACTATCACGTACTTGTCTCAGGCATTTGCTAAAAGCCGATGGAGATATCCCTGGAGGAGACATTTGCAAGAGTAATCCTCCAGAAGCGTTGAACAGAGGTAGAGCCAGGAAAAACACTGCTACCGAGACAATGCCCAAGCAAAGAGTTTCTGCGTTTTTCACCCTGGAAAAGAGAAAAACAGAAGACTATACACAACCGTTTACTTATAGATTCCACTTACCCAAGAGCCAAGAGCCAGGATGCAAGGATCACACCAGTGCTTCAAACATAAGAAAGACAAAGCTTAGACAACTTTCGAGTTACGAGCGATTTAAGCTTTCTTACCTTCGAATAGAATCAGAGAGTACGTGGAGACAGATGGAGTGATTGTTCATGTCTTCCGCTTTCCTGTAAACTGATCATGCGCAAAAGTGTAAAACCGAAGCGCTCACTCGATAGAGAGGTACGTTACCAAAACTTATCCGCGCGTAGTTTCGGAAGAACCATACTCCCATGGCATTCACGCACAGATTTGCTACGGCTGACACGATCAAGTAGTGCCTGAGAAAAAGAAAAAGGTGGACCTTGATAGGACGGACAAAAGAGAGAACAAAGCCTTACTTATGCTCGGACTCGTCTTGAACGAAAGCATGCAACGCTTCCACGGCAAGAGAGAATGCGAGAAAAAGCAAAAAAAGCTGCAAAACATACGAGAAACAAGAGATGAGCCGTGGAGAGAAAAGCAAAGATAAACTGGAATGCTTTTCTACAGTGTTTGTAAAGGCCGCTAGAACTTCCAATCTCTTATGCCTGCGTCGAGAAGGAAGAACACTAAAATCCCACACAAGAGAAAAGAAAAAGCCGCGAAGCACTGACCCGTAAGTATAATCGTCGTCAGCTTTCCGCTTGGCCATGACCATCGCAAACAAGGAGAAAGTGAGCATCCCACAGCCGAAAGTGAGATGGAAAGCATCCGACACAAGACCTGAAAGAGGAAAACAAAGAAAGATTCATCATCTCAAACTCTTTTCTCTCTTTTCTATGCTTACCAATGCGACCAGTGAGCAATCCAATGAAGAGCTCCAGCGAGGAGTAGGCGACATTGAGGAGGATGAGAAGGAGCAGCCGCTTCGTCTGCCGGTTGCCATAGCTGGTGATCTTCTGCATGAGCGTGAGAGCCTTGACGGCGCCCCTCACATTCTTCCACTTGCTGCTCCTGGTCGTCCCCTGGAGATCGCTCTTCCATGACGACACATTTCTAGAGAGGGCGGGACTAAACCTGGAGAGCGAGGGGGGATTCTTCCAGCTCTCCCGACCGGACGCTGGCGATGGTAGATTATCCAAAGGCGCGGCAGCAGCAGGAGGATGGCGCTTGTTGCCCGGCGGCTGTGGGCTGAGAGGAACTGAATCGAAGCGCACAGCGTCCGGCTCCTCCATGCTAGTTTTAGGGCACGAAAAATATGATTTAGCTCGCATTTAGTAGCGTAGCAGGATTTGCTGCTGTTTGTCATTGGTGTCTGTTCTTCACCAAGAAAAGTGCGACTCTTACTATCGAGCTAGTGAAAAGATCTTTTTCTCTTCATACCTGAGACCATGAGCCTGCGATCGGCACGGTTTCGTTCTTTGGATTCCAGCCGATTCCAGCCGATGAGAAAACTCGTGAGTTTTCTCATGCTAAACAGCGGCGACAGTTTTATCCACTCTAATGAGAAAGTATCCAAAATATGCTTTCGATATTTCTTATCACTGTGTTTTTCGCTTTTCAAATTCCTGTAATCCAATCTATCCTGGCAAAACATACGAGAAACATCTTAAAACAGTGTTTGTTTTTATTTCAGAAAACTAATTTACATTTACAGAATTCTATATGGTTTTTTTTCTGCTGGGATCCCTTATTTATTTATTTATAGAGAATTACAAATTAAAAGTGTGAGGGCCAAGTGTACGGCTACGATGCCGTATGCTAATATTAGCATAGTGTGATTTTGGTAGCCGTCGGATTGGTTTTAATCTGGACCACTCGCTCCTGTATATAAACTAAGGTTTTTGGGCTAATTAATAGACACATTTCTGTATTCCTTTTTTATATTCCATGCACTCACAAAAGCAAATTAATTATTTGTAAAAAGACCTCCTCCCACTGTAAGAAGCTAGAAGGAGTAAGAAGCTAGAAGGAGTGAAAAGGAGGGTATGATTCACAAATGTACGCAACAGACTCGTGAGTTTTCTCATCTTAAACAGTGGCGACAGTTTTATCCGCTCTAATGAGGAAGTATCCAAAATACGCTTTCGATATTTCTTTTCACTGTGTTTTTCGCTTTTCAGATTCCTGTATCCAATCTATCCCAGCAAAACATACGAGAAACATCTTAGAACAGTGTTTGTAAGCTAGACACAACACTAAAATCTCAAACAAGAAAGCACTGAAACGTAAGTATAATCGTGGCAAGCTTTTCTCTTCGCCATGACCCAAGGAGAAAGCGAGCATCCCACAGCCGAAAGCTAGATGGAAAGCATCCGACACAAGCCCTGGAAGAGAAAACAAACAAAAAACCATATCTCTTGTTTCTATGCTCACCAATACCTACAACCAGCAATGAAGAGCTCTAGTGAGGAGTACGGAACATTGAGGAGGATGAGAAGGAGCAGCCGCTTCGTCATAGCTCGTCTGGGACTAAACCTGGGGGGATTCCCGACCCGTTGTCCGGCGGCTGTGGGCTGAGAGGAACTGGATCGAAGCTGCTAGTTTTACGACACGAAGAACTATGTTACTACATTACGCCACTGCTTAAATAGATGCAAAAGACTTGCACCGCAAAACCAAGAACAAGAAGAGAAAAAGTAGAGAAAGAGATAACTATGCGAGAAAAAAAGAGGGGGAGAACTCCTGGAATGACAACGCTCAGTAAGCAACGAGGAAAGAGAAAAACAAATGGATAGAACCAGGCTCAGTGCTTCTCTCGAGATCCAGCTCGGGAAACGCAGGATAAAAGCGATGCCGCTGCTGGAGACACGGTCGGAATTGCCTGCTGCTACATTCTCGAATTGCGAATTGACTCTGATCAGCCGTCCTCGTAAATCAATCGTCAACCTGACTCAACGTTTTGTTCCATTGCCTCGAGAATTCGTGCCCGGTGGCTCCTGTTCGGCCTCCTGCAAGTTGAATTCAAAGAACTTACTTATAGCACGTGATGAACGGGCTTTCACCTTTCCTTCTTCTCTGAACTTCCAAAGAAGAAGCGAAGGCAAAAACGAGTTCATCGCAAGTTGAGGTCTATTGAGCGAAAAGTTTCCCTTCGAAAGATCTCAGGGATGAAAGTTCGCTGCCCAACTTACATAGTTATCTAATAGGAAGCGAATGTCCATGCTTGAGATCTTCACAGAAACTCCAAAAAAAGCCTCAAGCAAAAGAATGCGGCAGCGGCTGGATTTCCTGATGAAAGAGGATGAATAATAAGCAATGAAACAAACTTGCCTGAAATATTTGCTTGGCTTCGAGCACTCGCTGTGCCTTGGTAACATCCAGAGCCATATCTGGGAGTCATCCGAGCCGCTTAGCAAATGACCTTCTTTGAATGGACTCCACGAAAGTCGGTCTTGTGTCCCCGATCCTTATATCCGAGCTGCACACGCCCTCTTGAGGCGGCTCCCACATTCACACACAGATTTGCTACGGCTGAAACGATCAAGTAGTGCTTACGAAAATGGATCTTGACACGAAATACAGAGCCACAAAGCCTTACTTGTGCTCGGAACTAAGGCACCGGATCCACGGCAAGAGAGAACGCGAGAAACAGCAGAGAACTGATCCGTAAATAATCGTCATTGGCTTTTGTCTTCGCGATGATCGGAAACAAGGAGAAAGTCCGCATCCCACAGCCGAAAGCTAGATGAAATCTTCTGGGAAGAGAAAACAGAGAAACTCTCGTCTTAAAGTCTTTTTTCTCCTTGCTATGCTTACCATGAAGAGCTCCAGCGAGGAGTAAGGAGGAGGAGGACGAGAAGCAGCCGCTTTGAAATCGTGATCTTGCATGAGCGTGAGAGGCTTCACATCCTTCCACTTACTGGAAAGTGAGGGGATTTTTAGCTCTCCCGACCGGACGCTGGCAGTGATGCTCGTTGACCGGCGGCTGTGGGCTGAGAGGAACTGATTTTCTCTAAGATGATATTCTTTTTACACGAACAGGTTGCGTCATTTTGCAAACGAACTATATCTTCAACTAGAACTTATGTGAAGAAGTTCCCATGTTTATGTAGGAACACAAATGAATCTATATTATTGAGCTCTACTATTGAATGTCCGACTCTGTATGTGTTAGGAATTGCTGCTTTCAAAGGGGTGGTCTTTAATTCTTCAAAACTTCGCAAGCAAAAATAAAAAACCAGGGCATAATGGGAGGTAACCAGCCGCGCTGTAGTGGTTTTATGCTGCCTCCGCCGCCCCGTGTCCGTGACAGCAAATGGCTTCAGGAGGGGGAGCTCGAGTCCCTGGGCAGTAGCAAGTGCGAGGTGAGCTTACTCCCTTCTGGTACCTTCGACGACTGTCCTCGCAAGAGAGTGGATTGGGGTAGACTTGTGCAAGGCTGTGTACAAAAAGGCGGGAATGCTAGCTGGGTCGATTGCTTGGCGATTTGTGCAAGAGCCATGGCCAAGATCAAGGCACCCAAGCTTGAAACTCGGCCTGGAGGAGAGATGGTGATGCTATCTCTCAAAGGAAGCACGTCAGTGTTGAAAGCGAAGGAGATTCCTGATCACTTGTTGGAGGCGCTGGTAGCTCGGCATCCCGTGGTGACCAGCCTGCGCTGCAACCAGGGACGCGTGATTGATCCTGGCTTTACTACTGGTCATCTCAATCCGTATCCATTCTACAATGGAGACTACAATCTGGATTGTATCCCACGCTGCTCGGTGTTGGTAGGCTACGACTGCACGTTCTGGACCATCTTCGACACGGCATTCAACGTAGTTTATAATGTTCGTAAAACCGGGGTTGACTTACTCACTGGAGTGGGAGAGATCGTACTCGTGCCTATGTAAGATTTCTGTCTGAATAAACTACCCCCTGGGTGTTTGCGAATGGAGGGACTACATGAAAATGCCTCCAGAGGTGGACCACGGTGGAGTCATTCGAAAGCTCCCCTTCCTGATGTAGACACAGTCTTGGCTCGACTTAGGTTTTCCAAAAGCAGGTGCCCTTTCAGCATCCCAGAGACATATCTGGGAGTCATTCGAGCAGTTGGCAAATGACCAGAAAGTCCATAGCCTCCCCTCTTGAGGCGGCTCCCATATTCACACATAGATTTGCTGTGACTGATAGGATCAAGTAGTGCCTGAGAAAATGTATCTTTACAGGAAATACAAGAGAGAGCAACCTTACTTGTGCTCGGACTTGAACGAACGCGAGAAACAGCAGCGAAAAGAAAGAATACAGACCCGTAAGTATAATTGTTGTCTTCGCGATGATCGGAAACAAGGAGAAAGTCCGTATCCCACAGCCGAAAGTTTGGTGGAAGAAAACAAAGAAACTCTCGTTTTTTCTATGCTTACCAATGCGACCAATGAGCAATCCAATGAAGAGCTCCAGCGAGGAGTAAGGAGGACAAGCAGCCACTTCGTCATCGTGATCTTCTGCATGAACGTGAGACGCTTCACATTCTTCCTCTTACTACTGTGCTCTTCCAAAACGACTGTGAAGAGTGAGGAAATTTTTAGCTCTCTCGACTGGAAAAATATCTTACTTTGCTTAGCAATGCGTTGACATCCAATTTAATTACAGATGCAAATTTTGAAAGGCTTTGTTGGCTTGATCAGCCCAATCGTCAACATGGCCTCGAGAATTCTTGTCTCTGGCTCCTGCTTGGCCTCCTGCAAGTTGAAATCGTGCTTAATTTCTTTTCGAAGGAGGTGAAAGAAAGAACTTACGAATCGCATTGCATCGGCTGCGATGAGCGGGCTTTGACCTCTTCTTCTCTGGAAAATGATTGATCTCCCTTCGAAAGTTCCTAAGCATAAATGCTTGCTGCCACTGCACGAACAGAGCTGTGGAAAAAGAAACTCCAAAATAAACTTTTAAAAAACCTCAGTAAAAGTTTGCGACAGAGGCTGGATTCCCTCCTGCATTTTTTGCGCCTCATGGAGAGCGCACGCATACCTCTGCAATCAACGAGCTTTCTTCCAGCCAGTAAATTAAAAGGTGACCACTTACAGCCCTCAAGGACGATATGGTCTGGACTGCAGGAACTTTGTCTTCCTTCTCGCCACTGCAATCACCGTGTTGCTCAAAGTTGCCTTTGAACAACTCGGTGATTGCAATAGCAAGATGTGGAGCGACGCTTGGCTCCGCCGCAATAGCTCGCAGTTCGTCGTTCAGAAGACGCATCGACTCCAACTCCGTCGTCTGCCCCTGGAAAGAAAGCATCAGAAGAATGTCATGAACGTCAATCTTCTTACCTGGCCTCCATGGCTGGAGCTTTCTTTGTGCTTCTTGTTGCACGGAAGAACTTCCAGGGATGCGGAGTCTCTCTGCCTTTTCTGACTCTCCTGATCCTGTCGTCGCGGCGCCTCCGAACTCTGAAGTGTAGACACATGGAAATCCTGCATCTGGTTTATAAGGGAGTCATGGGAAGAGACGTCGTGGCTATCATGAGGATGATCGATCGGAAGGGCCTCCATTGCAATGAACAAGATTCTCATGAAGAAAACGAAGCTCAGGAAAGAAAACGAAGCGACTAGAACAAAAAATCGGCGAGGAAGCTGAAAGGCCAACGGCCACTGGCACCTCAGAATCAGAGACTACAAAACATGAAATCTGAAGATCTCAATCCATCCATGTCTTGAAAATGTTACCTGGATATTCCAGGTATATCCTTCAAGCTTCACAAACTAAAGAAATCTTCTTTTATCAATTTGTTGCAATCGCCATGTCTTCCGCGACGTCGTCCTCGTCGTGGTAGATGTTCTCCGCCATCTGCCATATCTGGAGAATGTTGTCCTCGGCCACGCTCGCCACAACCCAGTCGTCCTTGTTGTTCCACGAGAAATCCGAGATCTTGCTCGTGTGGCCGCCGTGAATAAATAAAAGCTCTGGAGGACCATCCTCGGCGTCCTCTGGTGTTTGTTCTTCACCAATCCTGGCAGAGAAAAGAGCGACTTTTACGATCGAACGAGTGAAAAGATCTTTTTCTCTTCATACCTGCTGAGATCCCAGACCATGAGCCTGCGATCAGCTCCACACGAAGCTAGAATGGTTTCGTTCTTTGGATTCCAGCCGATTTGAAAGACCTCCTCCCTGAATGTCAGTGTGAGAAGCTACAACGATTAGAAAGGAAGGATTCTCTACCTGTGATTCACAAATGTGTGCAACGGACTCGTGAGTTTTCTCATGTCGAACAGCGCGACAGTTTTATCCGCTGATCCAGTTGCTAGCACCCACTCGTTTAAGGGATTAAACGCTAAACAGTTCACCTGTAACCAAGATCTTAACGAAAAAACGAGAAAGTATCCAAAGCTCTGCTTACCTCGTTCTTATGAGCTTCAATCGCGTGCAAAGGCTTGTCCACGGTCTGGACTCTGATGTCCCAAATAAATAAGTGACGATCATCGCCTACAGAGCCGAAGAGATACTCGTGCATGCAATGCCACGCGACGTCTTCCACAACATTGTTGTGTGCCTGTGAACAAAGAGAGAGTTTGAATCATCTTACGAACGGGATGAAAGTGAAAGAACGAAAAAAAACTTGCCTGAAAGATTTGCTTGGCTTCGAGCACTCGCTGCGCCTTGGTCACATCCCAGAGACATATCTGGGAGTCATCCGAGCCGCTTAGCAAATGACCTTCTTTGAATGGACTCCACGAAAGTCCATAGCCTTCGGTCTTATGTCCCCGGAGCCTAATATCCGGGTTGCAAACGCCCTCTTGAGGCGGCTTGGAAGGGTGCTTGCTGTAGTCGAAAACAAAAACCTCAGCACTCACGGTCTTGGTGGCGATCACAAAAGGATTTTGTGGCATGTAACGAGCTCTATTCACCTCGCCATCGTGGTTGATCTGTTGAATCACCTGGACCTGGAACAAAACTCCATAATGTCAAGAACAAAAACTTCAAGTGGAACAAAGAACTAAAAAAAATCTGAGGAGCTAGAACGCCACCAGCAAGAACTTCCAAGGACTAGGAAGATAAAAATATAGAACGACACGACACCTCTAAGACTAAAAAGAGGATTTTTTCCTTCTTACCTTTCCAGTGGCAGACCCGAAGCCGCCCATCTCACCACGCTCGTCGTCATACACCCGAGCATCGCTCTCGGTGTCCTCCAGAGGGAGCTGGACCTCGGCGATCATCAAGAAATTGGGCTCATTGTCGGAGGTGTGAGTGCCCAAGATGAGCTTCTGGACCGAGTAATCCTTCCCTGGCGGCTCCACCCGATCTGGCAGCCACTGCACCGTGAGCGACGGCCACTCGAGCGCGTGCGTGATCACCAGATCATAGAGAAAGGGCGTGTTCTTCTTCCAAATCTTGTACTCCTCGTTTACCAGGCGCTCCTCCGACTCGTCGCGGAACTCCTCATCCTCCTTCGACATCGCACGCGGCAAATGCAGACCTGTGACAAGCTCCTCCCCGCCCGCGCGCTCGCTCCTCGCTCTCCCGCCGCAAGAGAAAACCCTAGGGCGCCAAAAACCTTGGAACCATCCACGTGGGCAATACTTCCAGCGTGGATGCAACACGTCGGATTTCTGCCAGCAGTTACGCCTCTGTGGCATTCTCTTTTGGGGGGAAGTTAAGATTAGGGTTCCTGGGAGCGCGGCAATATTTCATGGCGACTGCGCGACCCGATCGGCTGTGAGAGATGGGGCGGCCGTCTGTGTTTGTGGTGATCTTCATCATTGTAGCTCACATTATCTCTTTCGCGATGTCTCTTGGGGCGGAGACTCGACGAACAAAGGTAAACCTCTCGCGCTCTCTCCGAGATAGATTTTTCATTGCGAGTCTTCCAGGTAGTTTGGGAGTATGATCCCAATAACCAGTACTACTATTGCAAATACAAGCTAGACATCGCTAGTGGTCTCGCTGGAGCGGCCTTTGTATTTAATCTCCTCTCGTTTCTGTTGATCATGGGAATGACCAAGTGCTACTGCTGTGCGGGTCCTCACAAGCCCAGTGGAAATCGATTCTGTGCACTCCTCTCCTTTTTTCTACTCATGTAAGTAGCTTTGGAGCTTTTCATTCCAGCTTTGATTTTCTCTTTGGTTTTGCGTTGTTCTTGCAGAATCGTGTTTATAATTGCCGAGGCTTGCCTTCTCGCCGGCGTCAACCGCAACCAAATGAGAACAAAGACGATATACTTCCAGGGGCAAAACGTTCCCGACTGTGAGACTATAAGCAAAGGCATCTTCTCGGCGGCGGCGGCGTTTACGTTCTTCTGCCTGATACTGAGCTTATCTTACTACGTTTCAGCCGCAAAGTCGGAAGATAGCTATCCGCTGCCTCCGCGGCCACCGTCGGTCGGGATGACAATGTTTCCTCAGCAGCCATCCGGCCCGAGTCCCTATGCCTTGTAAGCTCTCGCCTTTCACGACGACGACGAACTCCGGGACTTCTTCTTTCAACTTTCCTGGAAGCGATCGGTCACACAAAGTAAGCTTCTTTTTTTTTCCTCTCTTATGGACAAAACGTGATAATGTAATCGCCACCGCTTGGACAGGGAACCATTTTCGGATGGCAGTAGTGGTTGCGACACTGGATAGACTTACACCCGGCAGCGGTCGGGGAGATGGCGAGGGGGACGCTCCCGCGAGAGAACCCGATACCATAAAAGTCGGTGTCTCCGGAGTGGCCGGAATTGAGCTGGAACTCGGCTATACTGGATGGAAGAAGGTTGGTAATGTAGAAACTTCCCGAGAGAGCTGCGGTGGATTCAACAGGGACCTGTCCGGTGCCTCCAGCCTCGAGCGTGAAGACGTTCCTCAGCGCCGTGTGGTCTCCTTCCATATGCATCTGGACGTTGAGAGTGAAGTCGCAGTTATTCCTCGTCTGGAATGTGGTCACAGCTGGTCAGAGCAGGACAACGATCGTTAGAACCATAGATCTGCAAGTGGAAGGGGAAAAAGCAAAGCCCGCAAACAAACCGTGAACTGGGATCGTCGAAAAGAGCAGTAGCAGCAGCGAAGCTATGATCTTCTTCATCTTGGTCGGGAGCAAAATCACGCACGCAGCAAAGCTCCGGCTTATGAATCGCAGCCCGGGGAGAAATCACACAAAGTAATTGGATGTAAACGTGGTTTTCCAGAGCTTGAGTGGATATCCAAGAGTCCAGATAGCTTTCACGAGGAACAACAGAGCTCCCACTATGGCGACACTTGGAAGAGTGTCAGAGGTGGTATATTGCGATCCAAAACTCCACTATCGTCACTAAATCAAATAGAATCGGCATATTCCATATTCTATTTCCCGCATAAACCCTAGAAAGAAAATTTTGGGGGGTGGGGCCATACCACTGCTGCTACTGGATTTGCCGCCATCGCTCTCCATGAGAATCGCGAGCGCGCGAGGTTTTCACTTTGGGCCGATGTTCCGCGGATGAGCAGGTCAGGAAGAGCATTTTGGAAGAAAAAATTTGTTTGATTGATACGAGTGAGAACAGGAGTGGAGATGCTCTTCATTACAAAGGTTTTTTCTTTTCTTCTTTCCTTCTTCTTGGTTTTCATTCTAACTTCTTACAGGTTATAGTAATGCGATGAGATTCCCAACACTCTTTGATGATTTACTCGACCATCTTCCTCTCTGCTGCAGACACTGCTTTTGCTACGACAGATATGACTCCGTCGCTAGGCTCTAATATGAACGAACGTGGGAAAGATTAGAAAGATTTTAGGCTAATAGACTTACCATGCCGTTTAATCAATGCCTTCTTCCCATCTTCGAAAGTGGTGAAGATCGTAAGGAGCTAGATTCTTATCAAACTTAAGGTTTCTAACTGCATAAGCATATGATCAGAAAACAAAGAAGTTTTTATTAAAAGAGAAAAGATTCATTGATGTTGAGATGGCATCTATGAGTAAAAGGATGTAACCATATGTGCAAACAAGTGGGCAGATAAGAGGAATCATCATATCATAGGGATTGTGGCATATAGTCAAGGACATGTAACTTTTTTGAAAGCTAACAATATTTCCTCAATAAAAAAAAACAGTTGAGAATACTTTGCATTGCTAAGTAGAAGGCATTAACATTGTGGGTGCAGAGAATGTTGTCATGGTTGTAATAAATGGGGAAAATGCAAACAAAGTAACAAAAACAATTCTGAAATAGAGGTACTCATTTCCATGGATAGTAATGCTTCTGGAGTGAAGAAAGGCTTTGGTGAGCTTCATTAGAAACCACTCTCATATGGTGGTGTTGCTAATGGAATTTACTCATAAACGAATGTTGTGCTATAGTGATATAAAGTTTGGTTAACTTTATTATGATAGAGAGGATAGTGGAGCTTCGAGAAGCTCTATAACAAATGTTCATATACTCTATGTATAGAGCAAGGCCTATGAAGGCAAGAGTTGGCAGAGACAATTATGTAACTATATTTGATGACCATTTTCAAGAACAAGCTAAGGACATATTAGAGGTACTTGAGGATGCTATACTACTACTTCGTCTTGTGGACGATGATATACTTACAATTGGAAAAATATATAAGTGTATAAATAAGTTGAATGGAAGTTTAGAGGAACAATAATCAGATTATGGTAGATATAGAGAACTTCATCAAATTATGTTTAATTGGTGGCATGAGTATCACTTGCTCATGCACTTGGTGAGATATATACTAGACCCTAAGTTTAAGACCATGAAAAACATGCTAACAGAAAAGTTATGAAGGATTGGAATGCTTATTTATTAGCCATATTTACATCTAGTGAGAAGGATGTAATATAGGATGAGATTTTAACTTACAAGAGGATAGGAAACATTTTCAACTCAATTGATGCTAAGGCTAATCACACTAAGAGGGGAGTTGTATGTTGGTGGAAGAATTATGGTTATGAAATTCCAGTGCTTTAGAAGCTAGCCATTCAAGTTCTAAATCAAGTATGCTCATCACCTTTGGTGGAGAGATTGTTTAACACTTTCAAGCATGTCTCTTCAAAAAAGAGGAATAACCATGATTATGACAAGTTTTTAAGCTACAAAGTACTAAAAACAATTCCTCATCTGGAAAACAAACTTGAGTCAGGAGAGGAAGAGGAAGATCGAGATGATGTTGAAGATAATGATGATTTGTAGGATGTTTGAGTAGTTTATATATAATAAAAAGTAGCATTCCTAGAATTAAAAATAGATATTCTTAGAATATTCACTAGAATATTAGTGAGCCATCATGAGCAGTGATCATAGGTTCTAAAGCTCATGTTCATGTTCCATGTTAGTGTTTGTAACTATGCATAGGTGATTTTACTCATGCTGCAGCCTGTTGACAGAGAGATCCTTAAGCACCCCCTCTGCGCCCTTCTGGGAGCAGGGGGCAAATCAACAAAAAGGTGTTTTTTATTATTTTTTAAAAATTACTCCAAATATTAGAAAGCTAAAAGAAACTGCCATACTTTGCCAACTTTGTTTTAAAGCCAACTTGTTCCCATGCACGTATTTGGAGCTCTTCTACCCACCACGAAAGTCTTCGTTCTAGCATGTATGGGTAGAGCTTTGAAAAGCTCCTACTCACCATTATACTGTGGTTGGTTGGGAGCATGGGATCGCTAGTTTTGTGGACTGGAACTATGCTCAAGATCATTTAGCAAATTCTAATTCCTGCTTCTTTGCTTGCGCCATGGGCCAGAGATGAAAGAAGGGCTGCATGAATACTTTGTGCCAAACATTCCCATACTCATGCCACTCTTGCGCAAACACCACAACATCTAGACATAGTCGATATAAGTCACAACTCAGTTGAAGAGCTGTTAATGGTTTACTGGTATTCATAAATCTCACCTTTCTCAATGCCATTTTTAACATCCTCTATCTTCTTTCCAAACTTCTTGTTTCTGGTGCTGCTGTAATTTCCTGGTTTATGATAGGTCCTTAGTCCTGGCTTCCTCCTCTAATGGCTCTGGATACCTTAAACTAAGCTCCCACCTTGCGAAAGCTTGTAAAACTTAACTTGTTTTGCCAGGAATTCTCGTATATGGGTAGGAGGGGTTGCTCTTCCAGTGTACTCCGACTTCCATGTGAAGCCATTGTGAGTGCATGAAGTACTGTCTCAAGTGGAACACAGTAACTTGTGTGACATTAGACACTTTAGAAGCCTTTGTCCCTAATCGGTAGTTCACCTCTAGAACGAAATCTTGCTTGTCCTCTTTGAGGTTGGTCTGTTATTTTCTAAGGAATTTGTACAGGGTTGGTCTCGTTTTTTGAAGATAATTTACCAGGTAACTAGTGGTCTTGGTCTCCAGAATTTTCAGTTGGAGCCTAGTTGCAAAGGCAGCCGGAGTAGATCCTATGGATTCCAAGAAACTATGAAAGGCCTGCAAGATAGTAACAGAATTGTGGGATTACTTTCTTACCTGTGGTACATCATCAATCTCATTGTCACTGCTGGAAGTAGTGTCCAAATCGACGCCCGTGAGGGACAACGTACTACGTCCCTCATCTTCATTCAAATTGACGATATAACAATTTCATAGAGGTTACAAAATGGAACTTTCAAATATTACATAGTAATGACTTCGGATGAATTCCAGGGAAGGCAATTAGCAACTCAAAAAGAAACGGGTGGACCAAACGTGATAGATTCAGTCAAAGCGGTACTTAGAATGAACATGAGAGTAGGTATGTACTCTCAAGTACGTAGGTACGTACCAGCGCAGGTACGTATTTGCGCGTAAGTACAAAAGTTCTAATAGATTGATGGTGGTGTCCAAATCTGGCCAGATCTGGAGGATGGTAGAATAGTCAAGAGCCATAGATCAACCTCTTTCATGTTTTTCTTCTTTACATGTTCGCCAAAACCTTTTCATTCCAGCAAGTTGAGAAATGGAATACGATGTGACTGAGATGGTGATGGATCGAGAATTTGGAGGCTTCTGGCAGCCGAGGTAGAGCTCCATTCCTGAGAGTTATGACACTTCCCAACTTAAGTGCGAACGTGGATTTCCACACAAGGGTCACCAAGCTGTTGCTGCTGCCGTCGCCGCAAGATGTTCATCGCTCGAGCCATTATGTAACAAGGCAGAAGAAATCCTGCGGCGCCGAGAAAGAAGAGCTGGACAAAATCAAAGTCTCAACAAACCAGGAGACATCTATCCGAGTTTAAACGCTACCGTAAAGAAAGTGGAGGCGTCGCCGTCGCTCCCGGCGGCACCAAGAGCCAGCGTGAGACGAAGTAGCAGCAGTGCCATCAACTGAGACCCGAGGTAAAAGCTCTTGTCATTCGGAAAAAAACACAAGAACTAATGCGAGTGTACTTACGATGACTGCAGTAGAACGGCAACAGGCAGCTCCGGAAGCATTTGCAGCCGCGTAGTCATCGATTTCCTGGATGAAGTTACGCTCGGCAGCCATTGCCATGATTCGAGGATCAAGCTGATGGTGGCTTCTCCATTCGACGTTCCTGCCAAGAAACAAAACGATGGAAGGTACTTTAGCACCTTCGCTTCACAGAAGATCGCTGACTGACGCTACATACCTGGAGTGGTCATCGGGGAGAGCAACAGGAGCGGCAGGACGGACTGGCTCTGTGCAGCCTTTAAAAGGCTGCAAAACAGGACACCGAGAAAAAGAAAAGAAAACGTGATCGGAATCAGCGAACACGAGCAAGGTAAATCATAAGTTCAGTGCGGATGATGCTACCTGCTGACAAATCTCGCAGATGGTGTCCCCTTTTTCGTTGCACCAGCACTGCACGCACTTTCGATGAGCATACTGCCAAAACCAGAAACTTGCTTAGAACTCTCAGCCGGCACGAAGAACATACTTTCAAGCTGCCGCAGCAAGAGCACGGGATTTCGAGATTCCCAGCCTCGTCTTCCTCTAGGCAGATTCTACATTCGTCCTGCTGGGATTTTAGCGATGGTGGCGATGGTGAGTGATCCTGGTGATGGTGCTGCTGCTGCCGCTGATCAATTGGGAAGATGGAAAAACTGGTTTTTGATGAGCAGCGACAAGCTGGTTCCATTCTTCTGGAAGTGGGATTAGCGCAAACAAGCGCCGAGCCTCTCGACGTCTAGAGCGTGATCTTCCATATAAGCCGTGTGTGGAGCGAAGATCACAAAAAGGAAGAGGAGAAAAAAAATGGAGGAAGAAGATGTTTTCCAAAACGGTAAAACTCGTTTTAGTGTCAACATTTCTAGCCGAGAACTGGGAGTGAACGAGTGAAGCATGCACGAGACATTCCGCTGCTGCAGCGAACAAAGAGAAGGAAAAAGGAGAGAAGAAAAATCACCAGCACAAGAAGAAATCCTTCTTCAAACGATCATCAGGCCATGGCAGCTTTTATAGGTCAGAAAAGAAAAGAACCTCTGAACGTTGAGTCCCAAAATCCTCAAATATATAGCAAAACTGCGAGAAGGTGGTGGTTTGAAGTTCCGGGAAGTATAGGCGTAGACGGCATCAGAAAATGGCATATGCCACATCCTCAGCTCACCTCCAATCGTTCTAGTGGTGGAGATTACCGTGCAAGCGTCTATTTCCTTGAGTACGTACTCGCAGACTTTCTCTCGCACGCCTGTCGGGGTCAAGCCTCGCATACTTCCTCCAAGGTTTCGAGGGCGCTATTAATTTTCCGCCAGCGGTGGTGGTCAATTGAAGTTCTGGAAAGACAAGCGTACTCCGGGCATTAGAAAATTGCATATGATATCCCACATCCAGTTGGCAGATCGGGCATCTCCAATCGTCCCCGCCTCCTCGCTATACCGTGCAAGCGTGCGATTCCTCGAGTACATATGTGGAAAGTTTTTTCTCACTCCCAGACTTTCACTCTGAAATGATAGATTTGACCCAATGTATGGCCCAGCAGCATGTGGTCTTATTTTAGGAGCCATAGACATGGTTAGTTAATTAAATAAGTTTAACTAATATAATGCTTCCTTGTTGCGCTCGTCTACGGGAGTTCCATTAGAGCTAGAGTTTCTTGAATAGCTTACTATGTGTGTTTTCTTCTCAGCCAAGCCTGGCACTGAGAAAGCAGGATTTCAGCGACGTGGAGAGATCGACAGTGCGGCTGCTGGTGGGGAGAGATCGACCGTTGTTTCCTCTCGATTCTAGCAGCAGCAATCTCCTCGTGGAGCTCCTGCTCTCCACAGCAGGAGCAGCAGCATTTGGGGCTGGGACTGGGGTACATTATGCCACAAGTGACTGCTTTCCCTCGCTCAAGTGCCAGCAATAGCATTTTCATTCTGGCAAAAGCAAAGCTCGTATTGTGGCTCGTGGCAATGGGGGTCCAAGGTCCTACTGGACGAATCAAAACGAGAACCAGCAAGCAATCACAAGGTTTCGCCATGGATGCCACAGGAAGAAATCCCTTCTTCTACCGTCTTTCGGCAGCTCCAGGACGACGCAGCCATGGTGGTAAACATGATCTATTCTTTCTGTGGCTTCCATCTTTTTTCTTTTCTTCTCGGCTAGATCTTGGAGAAGGGTGACTATCTCATGATGCAGAACCTAGGAAAGTCAGGTTAGTATTTTTATTTTTTTGTAAGTCTTTCTTGATCAATCTCAAGACAGAGTCATCTTTTGCAGCCATCAAGTTTAAGACGGAGTCATCCTGGCAATCAAGTTCAAGGCGTAGTTGAGACCACTCCGGTTCATCAGCTATTTCCAGACAACTTCACTTTTTTAATATATGATTTCAAGCAGAGTCTTCAGCCAATGTGGAGTTCTCCACGACCACGGCCATCAAGAGTTCTCGATGGGCGAGTGCCATCAAACACAAGGCTGCTGAGTCTGAGTGTTACAAGCACAATAAGGTGGTCTCAATTTCCTTGAGAGGTATTTCATATGTCTCAAAGAACGCTCAAAAGAAATACGATAAAATAAAATTAAGATACTATAAATAATGTTATTTAGTATTAATTATTAATCCAATTTTATAATTATAAACATGTTTAAAGTTTATAAACAAAAAATTAATATTATTGCACAATCCTAAATGATTTCCCTCCAAACCCAATTCTCAATAGTCTTCCAGGACATCTCCATTATTATAGGCAATCTTAGTTCTTCCAGGCAGCTTATCAAGGTAACAATCAAGAAGTGTTTAACACTTCTTCTAAATAAGCATTTAGAGGGTAGTATAAACAATGGAGGTATGGGGAGAGAAGGAAATTAGTTTCTTCAAGTTAAAACTACTTTAAGACTCAGGTAAGTATCAAGAAGTGTAGTTCTTCATAACAGTAGGGCAATACTTTAGTATTTTATATAGTTTGTCATGTAACTTTTAGTGTGCACAACCTATAAATTATTTTATTGTGCAGCAACACTAAATCCTTTTGATCTACCAATTCACTAAGATCAACTTCACACGATCACCCGTGATACAAAAAGGTTTCTTATATATAAAAAGATTATCAATTGTCTAATAACATCATTATTCCATGTGTTTAGGGCAAATTCATTTGATGATATGACACTTTTTATTTTAGTATTTTCCCCAGTAGCATTCTTGTTTACTAAGGGCTTGTGCATTGCCTATGCTAGTCAACACACAAAATCAATCCAAATAATTATGGATGCCATTATCAACAAGTAAAGCTAGATTTAATTATGTTTATTTATGCATAATTTTTATTCTTCCTCTTTGCACTATATGAATTAGTTTTGTTAGTGTGGTCAGATGTCAAGAAGAAAGTATGACATTATTATATTTATTGATGTTTAAATTATTTGATGAAAGAAAAAGGCTGAGGGGAAGCAATCTAAAAGTAAAGATTGAAAATTTAGAGTATTTTGTTCCAAGGCATTTGAATTTAAGACTATCTTAACCATGTTCTATAAGAAAGAATATTTTTTAGAATGAATTAATTAGAATTGGTTTCTTAGTATCACTAATCTAGTAGAACAATCACCCAAAATAATGGATAGCCTCAAACAAGACTTAAAATCAATTATATACTATTATCAATGGCATTTTTGTGAACTATAAATTTTTCCTTTTCAATTTGTTAATTTACCTTGTCTATCTAACCACCATTACTTTGGCCTTAGTTAAGTTCCCTTGCTAAGATTCTTGTTTATTATACCAACTTCTACCTAGTTTTACTTGGTTTTAACTACTCATTACAGAATGTTAACTATCCATTCACGAATTATTAAATTCTCTCTTAATCCCCCTCCCTAGGTTAAATTAGATTTAAAGGTTTGACTACACTTCCTGCAAACATAAGCAGCCAAACACACAAATCCTTTAGGTTTTTAACCTCCCTTGGTATAACAAGGTTTGATCATGGGACCCTTTAAATCCTAGTTTTGGGTGCATTTTTTGCTTCAAGACTATAAGGGGAAACATTACGGTTTAATGGCTCAGTATAGGTACTTTTACTCCCCCATTTGCATCCTAAAGGGAAGGTCCAAACCCTTAAGAAAGAGCAAGGACTAATGAGCTGTATGATACTCAAATGAGGCATTATTTCATTTGAGCTAAGAACATTGTAATCAGTTTTTCTTTCGGGAATGGGAATTGCTCTTGAGGACTTCCTTGGGTGGTTTCTTTGGCATTAGCCGAGTCTGTACTCACTCCCACCAAAAGCCATTAGCCCCTAGTCCCAACTTCGGTTTAGAAGTAGTTTAATCAATTTCGAAGTAATATTAAAAAGTTCCTTCAAGACTGGTTCCTACACTTCATTATCCTTACTATACTTTTTGGAACCTTTTATAACAACCCCTTACAATACTCCTTATGCCCCCGCCCCCCCCCCCCCCCCTATACCCCCCCTTGGGAGATGATTGTTTTGTGCTTTCACCCCACGATCTATATTAGTACTCAGACTTGATTTCAGATTTGGTTTTGAACTCGACCTCAGATTTAATTTTGAACCCAATCTTGGATCTCAGACTCAGTCTTGAACTTGGTCTCGAACTTAATCTTGAACTCGGTCTCGAACTTAGTCTTAGGCTCAATCTCATCTGATGAACTTTTTATCGTTTCAATCATAATTTTAGGGATCCTTTAACATACGACATTAGTTCCTTACATTTTTTTAATATTAATCCATATAACTTAAAAGATGACTTAGGGTTTTGGTGGTAGAGCTTGTGGCATAAAGGACTTTGGGGTGCTAGGTGCTAACTTCACTTAATAAGCCACTTTATTGATTGTTCCAAGGTTTTATAAGATAACTTATCACTTCTCTCATCTCTTAAGAATATGATGGTTACAATTTTGAGCCACTTGCAAGTTCCTCTTTCATATTTCATCCAATTTTATGATAAATTCTTTGTCATTTCATCCATATAAAATTTACATAAACTATATTCAAAAGCTATTTTTCAATGACAGCCATACATTGCAAAGTAAAGTGTCATTTTGATGCCACTATGCTATTATTATAAACAAACTTTAACTTATCCTATTATCCTTCTTGCCTATAAACAATGCATCTTAGCATGTCTTCAATCACCTAGTGGACTCATACAATTTATCTATTTGTGTGAGTTGTGTTTTGATGAGGAATGAATCTTGAGCTTTGCATGTTGATTGGCTTGTTGATTTATTATTACACTAAGAATTTTAAAAAGCATTAAGACTATTATGCATTATCCTCCTTTATAATCTTTGTTGTTGACGAAGAGTATTACTGATTAGCTCTCTGATCTCAACAACTTGCTCAATTAGATATTTCAACTGAGAATATTAACCCATAATAGTAATTCTACCTTTTAATTTCTATCTACACTTCCAAGACTGAAAATTAAAAAGACAAGAGTGTAAAATATTTTCCATTGGCATCCATTGCATAATGTGCCTCTAGCTGGCCTAAAACCATGTATTATTACCATGACAATAAAATTTAATTATAAAGACAATAATACAAGAATAAAGCATGACTCAAATATAACAAAATAGTGGAAAACACTTAAGAGCTGCTATAAAAGATCTCTTTTGCAAAGATTGTTGCTACTTTAGTAAGATAAAAGTGGGGCAGCCTAAAAAGCTATCCCAGAAGATGATCCTGTAAATATTAATTGAAAAGTTGAGAAGCTCTCACAAGTGGGAGTGATAACTTCATAATAGATTTATTTTATAAAAGCACAAAACAAATAATATTCTTAAAGCCCAAAAAAAAACTGCGGGGTCCAAGGATCTACCGGAATGACCAAGTGCTTGTCCCAGTGGAAATCGATTCTGTGCATTCCTCTCCTTTATGAGGCTTGCCTTCTCGCCAGTGTAAAACGCAACCAAATGAGAACCAAGACGATCTACTTCCAGGGGCAAAACGTTCTCGAGACTATAAGTCTGGCGTTTACATCCTTCTGAGCTTGTCTTACTACGTTTCAGCTGCCGGAGACACCGACTTTTATGGTCTCGCGGGAGCGTCCCCCTCGCCCTGTCCCCGACCGCGGCCGGGTGTAAGTCTATCAAGTGTTGCAATCACTACTGCTATTCGAAAATGGTTCCCTGTCCAAGCGGTGGCGATTACATTACCATGTCTAGTCCATAAGAAAAAAAAACTTACTTTGTGTGGCCGACCACTTCCAGCAAGTTGAAAGAAGAAGTCCCGGAGTTCATCGTCGTCGTGAAAAGCGAGAGCTTACAAGGCATCAGGCCGGATGGCTGCTGAGGAGACCGACAGTGGCCGCGGAGGCAGCGCCTAGCTATCTTCCGACTTTGAGTGGCCGGAATTGAGCTGGAACTCGGCTATACTGGATGGAAGAAGGTTGGTATTGTAGAAACTTCCCGGAGCGCTGCTGTGGATTCAACAGGGACCTGTCAGCCTCGAGCGTGAAGACGTTCCTCAGCACCGTGTGGTCTCCTTCCATATGAAGTCGCAGTTATTCCTCGTCTGGAATGTGGTCCGGAAAGTCACAGCTGATATCAGAGCAAGACAACGATCGTTAGAACCATCTACAAGTGGAAGGAGAAAAGGCAAAGCCCGAGAAAGCTATGCAAATAAACCGTGAACTTGGAGCAGTACTAGCAGCAGCGACGCTATGATCTTCTTTATCTTGGTTGGGGGCAAAATCACGCAGCAAAGCTCTGGCCTATGAATCACGGCCCTGGAGAAATCACACAAGATATCCCGGGAAGTGGAAGTAATTGGATGGAAATGTGGTTTTCCAGGATCTCCTTCGTCGGCATCCAGAAGTCCTGATAGCTTTCACGAGGAACAACAGAATTAGCATATTCCATATTCTATTTCCCGCATAAACCTTCGCATAAACCCTAGAGAGAATTTTGGGGATGGAGGAAAGCGCGCCATACAGCGTCCGACTGGAGGCGGACAAGGCGCTGCACTTGGTGAAGCAGGGATCGTCGCTGCTGCTACTGGATTTGCCGCCATCGCTCTCCTTCGGGATCGATTTGCAGGTGAGAATCGCGAGCGCGCGAGGTCTAGGGTTTATGGGAATGCCTCTCTTTGTTGCAGATGTTTGTGGTCGGGACGATGTTCCGCGGCGTGAAAATGGTGCCTCCGGGGCCGCATTTCATCTACTACTCCGTGATGAGCAGGTGTGCAAGAGATTTTTGGAAGAAAAAATTTGTTTGGTTGATACGACTGAGAACAGGAGTGGAGATGCCGCTCCAGTGACTGGTTTCTTCATTACGGGAACGCAATCGAAGGTTTTTTCTTCTTCTTGGTTTTCATTCTTACTTCTTACAGGTTATAGTAATGCGATGGGATTCCCAACAGGAAATCTTTGTGAAGCTTACAGATCCGGCAGAGGTATCTTGTTATAAAGGATAATGAAGTTCATTTTTCTGGTATTCAAAGTTTTCTGATGATGATGCAGGAGGAGAGATATGCTTATGCAGTTCGAAACCTCGAGTTTGATAAGAATCTAGCTCCTTACGATCTTCACCACTTTCGACGCTGGGAAGAACTTAGCAACTACGTCACTCCGGCCGTGATTAAACGGCATGGTAAGTCTAATGCCTTTTGGTTTTTAATCACTCGCGCTTTTGTTGATATTAGAGCCTCGCGACGGAGTCATATCTGTCGTAGCAGAAGCAGAACTTGTCGAGCAACATCCTCAGACCGCAGCAGAGAGGATGATGGTCGAGCAAATCATCAAAGGAAAAGAGACTTACGGCTTTAGAAACAAAGAAGGCGGTGAAGGGTCCACTCAAGACAGGAGTCGCTGTCGCTACACTCGTTTACCTAGACTTCTAAAGCGTTCTGGTGCAGAGGCCAAAGATTTGACTTCGTTAAACCTGGACAAGGTGAGCGTGCGTGATGTCTTTGCCGTATGTTTACTGTGCTTTGTACAGTCCATAGCTCTTGAGAAGGCTCTGAAAGAATCTTACGATGGAAGCGAGGAGCTTCTACTAGGAGAGCTTCAGTTCGCTTATATAGCCTTTTTGGTAAATCTTCTCCTCCACCAATCTGTTATAACACTCGGTCTTTGCCAGATGGGACAATCTCTTGAAGGATTTAGTCAGTGGAAATCCATCGTGAGTCTTATGTTCGGCTGTCAGGAGGCAGTAAGTTTTTAGAGTATTCAGAAGATTTTTTTAGATTATCACTTCGTAGACTTACCGGACGTTGATTTTGCAGCCACTAAGGACTCGGACACGGCTTTTTGTCAAGGTAAATGCACTCTAGCACCTCTGACTAAGTCACGGCTATGCCGGTCTAGTTTCTGGAAGTGCTGTATCATCAAATGAGGCAGGGACTCAAGAACAACAAGTCAGACGTTGCTCTCGACGATTCCTCGTGGTTCTCAGCCGACAATTTCTTCCGGTTGCTCTCGAAGGTAACTACGTCTTTACATGTGTCACGTTTTCTCACCTATATCTCGTAGGACTTTTTACTCATGCTGAAGACCACTCAGCCTGTTGACGGAGAGCTCCTCATGCAGGTACGCTCGTACCATTTCGTGATTGTTTGTCGTTGAAGATTTAGATCCACTTGTAGGCAAGGAGGCTCAAACACTTGCTCGAGAGCCGTCTGGGGTGGGACCTTGACAACGAAATTAGCGATGCAAATGTAGATGATGACGAGGTATGTGTAATGTTTTGCTTTGTTTATCACAATCCTTATACTTCTCTGTGAATGCCACAGTACGCTCCCGTAGTCGTAATGGACGTCTAGAAAAAGCTTCTATTGCTTTCGAGTGCTTGTTAATTGAATGCGTTGGCAAAACCATTTCAAGCGTACTTGTGGGAAGGTTTGCAATTGGGAATTTACAATTTGTTTGCTTTGCGTTGATGACAACCAGTTTCGTCTCTTTTATTTGTTTCTTCTTCACGTATTCGCCAAAAAACTCTTCATCCCCGCGCAGACGCAAGCAAGTTGAGAAATGGAATGCGCTGGGACTGAGATGGCGACGGATCGAGAATTTGGAGGCTTCTCGCAGCCGAGGTAGTGCTCCATTCCTGAGAGTCATGACACACCACTTAAGAACTTAACTGCGAACGTAGATTTCCACACAAGGGTCACCAACCTGTCGCTGCCGCCGTCGCTGCAAGATGTTCATCGCTCGAGCCATAATGTAACAAGGCAGAAGAAATCCTGCGGCCCTGAGGAAGAAAAGCTGGACAAAACCAAAGTCTCAACAAACAAGGAAAAATCTATCCGAGTTTCAACGCTACCGTAAAGAAAGTGGAGGCGTCGTCGTCGCTCCCGGCGGCACCAAGAGCCAGCGTGTGACGAAGTAGCAGCAGTGCCATCAACTGAGACCCGAGGTAAAAGCTCTTGTCATTCGGAAAAAAAAAAAAAAAAAAAAAAAAACAACCGCAAGAACTCGAACTTACGATGAGTGCAGCAGAACGGCAACACGCAGCTCCGGAAGCATTGGCAGCCGCGTAGTCATCGATCTCCTGGATGAAGTGACGCTCGGCAGCCATTGCCATGATTCGAGGATCAAGCTGGTGGTGGCTTCTCCACTCGACGTTCCTGCCAAGAAACAAAACGATGGAAGGTACTTTAGCACCTTTCGCCTCACAGAAGATCGCTCAATCAAAAAGAAGCACTACCGAAAAGCTCTATAAACTAAACGACGAGGAATCGAGCGAGCACGACAAGGAAAAGAAGAGTACACATACCTCGAGTGGTCATCGGGGAGAGCAACAGGAGCGGCAGGAGACCGGACTGGCGCTGTGTAGCCTTTAAAAGGCTGCAAAACAGAGGCGAGGCATCAGACAACCGAAGGGAAAGAAAAAAAAGAAAGAAAACAAAACAAAAGGAATGGTCGAAATCAGCGAACACGAGGAAGGTAAGCAAATCGTAAGTTCAGTGCGGATGATGTAACCTGCTGACAAATCTCGCAGATGGTGTCCCCTTTTTCGTTGCACCAGCGCTGCACGCACTTTCGATGAGCATACTGCCAAAACACAAGGAAAGAGAAAAAAAAAAACGGGGAAGAGCCAGCAACTTGCTTAGAACTCTCAGCCGGCACGAAGAACAAAGTTCCTTACCTTCAAGCTGCCGCAACAAGAGCACGGGATTTCGAGATTCCCAGCCTCGTCCTCCTCTTGGCAGATTCGACATTCGTCCTGCTGGGATTTTAGCGATGGTGGCGATGGTGGCTTTGCGGAGTGATCCTGGTGATGGTGATGCTGCTGAAGATGAAAAAACTGGTTTTGCATCAGCAGCGGCGAGCTGGTTCCATTCTTCTGGAAATGGGAGTCGCCCAAGCAAGCGCCGAGCCTCTCGATGTCTAGAGCGACATGATCTTCCATATAAGCCGTGTGTGGAGAGCGAAGAACACAAAAAGGAAGAGAGAAAAAAAAAATGGAGGAAGAAGTCTACAAGAACTCCTGTTTTCCAAAACCCCTATTCTTCGTTTCTGTGTCAATCAATCAATCAAATCACTCAAAAGGGGTCACATTTTCTAGCCCAGAACTGCGAGTGAATGAGTAAAGCATGCACGAGATCATCCTCAAAGGGGAGAGGAAAAAGAAAGGGGATTCATTCCAAAGCTGCTGCTGCTGCTGCTGCTGCTGCCAACGGACAAAGAGAAGAAAAAAAAGAGCGAGAGAGGAAAAAAAAAACCCAAAGCAGCAGCAGCACAAGAAGCATCCCTTCTTCTCAGGGGATCATCGTCTTCTTCTTCGTCCTCCTCCTCTTTCGGTCATGGCAGCCTTTTTAGGTCACGAAGAAGAAGAAGAAGAAGAAGAAGAATAGAAGAAAAACACCTTTAAACGTTAAGTCAAGAGCCTGACGGCCGGGGGACGGAAATGAAAATCCAAATTATAGCAAAAGAAAGTTTAAAACAGAAACCCTAATTCTTCCTCTAAATTAGGGCTAGGGTTTGTTCTAGGTTTTCCATGGCGGCGACCACTGAGGCTGTGGCTGTGGAGAAGCCCGCCGCCTCCTCCGATGTCAAGCTCTTCAATTGCTGGAGCTACGAGGATATTGAGGTAAGCGCTCGATCCATCGATCTATTAGCTGTGATTTTGGCTCTAGATTCACGACATTTCGCTCCACGACTACATTGCGTCGCGGCGCGCTACCTATGTGCCGCACACCGCCGGCCGCTACTCCAAGAAGCGGTTTAGGAAGGCGCAGTGCCCCATTGTCGAGAGGTACGCGATCAAAATCTCTCCTTTGGATAGTTTTCTCTCCATTTTTTCAGGCTTACAAACTCTTTGATGATGCACGGGAGGAACAATGGAAAGAAGTTGATGGCTGGGCGCATTGTGAAGCACGCGATGGAGATCATTCACTTGCTCACAGATGCGAATCCGATCCAAATCATCGTGGACGCCATCATCAACAGGTAGAGCTATAGATCTCTTTGTTACAACTTCATTGATTTTTCGTCCTTCCTGCTTGCAGTGGTCCTCGTGAAGATGCTACACGAATCGGTTCCGCTGGTGTGGTGAGGCGTCAGGCTGTTGATATCTCGCCTCTGCGTCGCGTGAATCAAGCCATTTACTTGCTCACTACTGGAGCTCGCGAGAGTGCTTTCCGAAACATCAAGACCATCGCCGAGTGCCTTGCTGACGAGCTCATGAATGCCGCCAAGGGATCTTCCAACAGGTACCTCGCGGCCAGAAATTCTTCCTCTCGCCTCAAGCTCTAAAGTTCCTTGTTTTTGATGTTTCAGCTATGCGATCAAGAAAAAGGATGAGATTGAGCGTGTTGCGAAGGCGAATCGTTGAGAAACACATTCTAATGTAATGAACCTTTTTGGCATATCATTCGAAATCAAAGATTCTACTACACATTTGATCCAAGCTTTCGAAAAGTATCAAGTTCTTGTTTCAGAGTTCTTTTTTGTTGATGTTTAGACTATTCAATGAAAGAAAAGAATCCAAAATCTACGATTGCAAAACTAGAAAGTAGTGCATTTTGTTCCATGGCATTCGAATTCGAGGCTTCAGACCGTCCTAACCATGTTCCACAGGAAAAAAAGATTTTTCGGAACAATGAATCGATCAGATTTGGTTTCTTGGCATCACTAGCCTCGCAAAGCAATCGCCCAAAACAGTGGATGGCCTCAGAACGATGTTAACAGCACTAGAAATCAGACATATGCTTGTCAATGTGTTCGATCATCACAGGCCTTTCCAGAGAGAAAGAAACGAGGAAGAACAAATCAGAGTCAGACTTTCAAAGCGAATCCTCAATCCAAATTCAGACAGGGATAACTGTGTCATTGAGAATCATCATCCTCGCTCCGCTAGCTAAGAAAAATCAACCTCGCCGCAGAGAGACTCACAACTTTAGGGTTCTTCGGCAGCCCTAAACGTTGCTTTACATGGAAATGGACGGCTACGATCGCATGAGCTAAATTTAAATCTCAGCGCCCGGTCCGCAAAATTTTGAATTTTAAAAAGCAGAAAACATTGCGACGTTTAGCCGGATTGGAATGCGAGCCCGCGTCCGGGTTTGAAATTTTTCAAAGGCTCCAAGGATCTGCCGCCACGTGGAGAATTACCGCCGGTGGTGTAAAAGAGGCCTTTGGTGGGAATCACCTGTTTGTAATTGGACGGTGGCGATCTGCGGACAGGGCGATTCCCGCCGTCGATCCTAGGGCTTGGCCAGATTAGGGCTCCCAAATTTCAAATCGATTTAAAAGAGGAGGAGGAGTACTGTAAGATCGGTAGGGTTTGCGGTCGCAGCGGGAGAAGCTGCTGCGCTCTAGTCGTCTAAGGCGCCGTGGATCCGCTGGGGAAGCGCAGCGCTGCCAATATGCGATTCGATTGGCGCTGATGAAGCAGTGGATTCTTCCCGTGGCGAGGTGAGCTGCTGGTTTTGCTGTGGAATTTGGCGACCAAATTCGTGGGATTTCTAGGAACACCTATCTCTCCCTGAGTCTCCGGCTGGGTTAATTGGCTTGATTGATGAAGGTGAGTTCCCATTCGAAGGGCGCATTAAATTTTCTTTTGACATGGCTTGTGCTTTTGGTAGACCCGTCGAAACAAATCTGTCTCGGCCCGGCAGGCGAGCACTGCGAATGGCGGGAAGGCAGCTTTGGGCGGCCCCTCTCCTGCAAAGAAACCAAGGAGTATGTTCATGTTTTTGTTTCCCCATAGAGATGTTTAAATTGTTTTTGCAGCCAATCGCCCACGAGTGGCAGGAAACAAGATTCCACATTTTTTGCTGGAAGAGGCAAAAACAAAGAATGGCAAGAGCGTCGACGATGATAATTCCGATGACTACGACTTCAACAATGTCGTGAAGGCAGTGGCCTTGACCCTGGCAGAGGCTTCTCAAAATGGATCGGAGTCTGAGTCACCAACACCACCCAAGGCAAAAGAGAACGGAAAGGTGATTTTTTGAAATTGTTGCAAGTGTTTGGAGCTTTATGCTGACTAGTGCCCTCTTTCCTTGATCAGGCAACCAGGGCACGTCCTTCGGAACCGGACACTACTAGCACAGGTGATAAAAACAATGGAAGACGGCCGCCCTCTAAAAGAATAAGAAATCGACGAGAGAGTCGAGAGAATCTGGAAGAAGAACGTGAGGGCTCGGACATGGGAGTTGTTGAAGACTCGAAACCTCAAAAGACAAGGTTTTTACCGCAACGTTCAAAGAAACGAAGCAGACAGCTATTCTCTTCGGGAGGTACTGTCTTCTGACTTCTGCTGAACACTTTCTGATACTTCTCGTGTGCAGATGAAATTAGTGGTCTCGATGCACTCGCAACGTTGGCGGACTTGTCTCTAAGCGGATTACTTCCTTCTCCAACAAATGAAGCAGGTATTGTGTTGAAAATCCTTTTCCGGATATGATTGAAATCTGTTTCGTTGTTAAGGAGGGGATGGAACAGCTCCTGAGCAGCAGAAGCTACAAGATCTTGTTACACAAGTTTTGAGATCAGAGAGAGGATCCGTGAAGAAAGAGCAACGCGAGGAAGGCAGAGCGAAAGAGCAGAGCAACAAGAAGCAGCCATCGGCTTCGCCAGATGCGAAAAGGAAGAAGAAGCGCACTGAGAAGGTAAAGCGGTTTTTCTGCACTTTCATTCTCAAGTCTTGTTGTCTATGCAGAGCGAGGCTGGCACAAGCACGAAACCCGACGAGAAGGTATGTTTCTTTACTATAGCTTGCGGTTATTCACGCATGATATGCAGGCCCTTCCGTTTGTATACAAGCCACATGGGAGAACCAAGCGCATATCTACATCTAAATTGCACAGGCACTCGCGGCACGACGGCTTTGATGAATCCGCGCAAGATGGTGACTTTGAGCCCAGAAGTAAAAGAAAACATACTAGTGAGAAGGAGACACGTACATATTGTCCACACACAACTGCTGAGTTTGGACCTTCTAGTGCAAAGGTATTATTTGTGCTATGTTTCTAGTTTAAATGCTCACAATGTTCTGCAGGCCCGATTACTACACTGTCTGTCAATCCCAAGGGTTAGGCAATGGTGTGTCTACGAGTGGTTTTACAGCGCCATTGATCTTCCGTGGTTTGCGCGTAACGAATTTGTTGAGTATCTTAATCATGCCGGCTTAGGACATGTGTCCAAGCTTACGCGAACAGAATGGACTGTTATAAGAAGGTAAATGATTGCTACGTCGATCACGAAGCTCATGTCTTTTTGTGCAGCTCACTGGGAAAGCCGCGTCGGTTGTCACAAAAGTTTTTGCAAGTAGAAAGGGAGAAGCTAGAAGCGTACAGAGACACAGTCCGCGCGCATTACCACGATATTCGGAATGATAAATCAGGATGCTGCTTACCACCAGATTTAGCTCGACCTTTGACTGTCGGACAGCGAGTGATTGCTCGGCATCCAAAGAATGGGGAGATACACGATGGCAGAATACTTACGGTGGATCGAAACCGATGTCGCGTTCAGTTTGAGCGCACTGAACTTGGAGTCGAGTTTGTCCTGGTTAGTCTTGCAAGCATTGAATTTTTTAATCTCATTTCTTCTACGCAGGACATCAACGCTATGCCCGTCAACCCGCTCGAGAACATGTCAGACATCATGAGAAAGAGAAGGATAATCGATTTAAGCAGTTCCGGACACAGAATTGGTGCGGGAAACACTCGTAATGCATTGAACGACAGATTGGACCGACCTTATGCGACTCCATCACAATACTTCCTGAGTACTCTAAGCCACCGAGCTCAGGTACTTGTCGCAATGTCCTGAGACGCCTACTGACTACCCTTTGTTAACAGATGGACAATGTTGACTCCGTGCTACTTGCAAAAGCAGCAGCTAATGAGGCTGTCGCAGCTGTACAACAAGGGCAGCCTTCATCGTCTATTCAGGCGCAAGCACGCGAGGCAGATATATGTGCACTGGCTGAGCTCTCTCGCCAGCTGGATAAAAAAGTATGTTTTTGTTTTCTAATCTTTTTCTCACTTTATAAACGTGTTATCAATAGGAAGCGTTGTTGGTGGAGCTGCGTCGTATGAATGATGAAGCTGACAGGAGCGCTGGGGAAGCAGAATCTCTAAGAAACTCGGAAGCATTCAAGATACAGTATGCCACCGTTGTTCTTCAGCTAAAGAACGTCAATAAGCAGGTACTGTCTCTCTTTAGGAAACAATGTGTTTGCTAATCTTTTTCTCCTCTGTAGGTCTCTGCTGCTGTCGTTCAGCTGAGAGAACGCAATCGATACCAAGAAAACTTAGTAGCTCCATGGCACTCGCCTCCTTGTGCCGCTGCGGACGGAGCCGTAGCAGGCCTCGGTGCAGGCTCGCCGGCCGAAGAGATATCCCTGACGACGAGGAAGGACGCTAGATCCATGGTTTCGGCTTTCGTTCAGGTATGCATAAGCTAAAAGACGTTCCAAGAGACGGTAGCTCATACATTCTGTCTTTCAGGCCGTGTGCTGCCTCAAAGAAGGTGAGGATGCCTTGTCAAGGTTGGGAAAACAACATAACTATGTGGATGGTCAACCTGCAAAAGAGGGGGGAACGGGGACGGGGACGGGGTTGGGTTTTGGTTCTTCGCCTCCTGCTAATCACCACCAATCACAGGGCTTTGATAAGTCACAAACGCTACCGCAAGACACACAAGCGACGAGTCAAGTTCCCACAGCACCTTATCCTCCAGACATAGACGCCTACATTCCAGCAGAGTTCATCGCTTCCTGCCTGACAACCCTGTTAATGATCAAGGTATGTTGGTTTTGTTCTTCTTCTTTGTGAAGCTCTAGCGATTTGCTTGGTTGTTTACAGACGTGCACGGAGAGGCAATTGCCACCCTCGGATGTGGCAGTCATGTTTGAAAACGTGCTGGAGAACTTGCGGCCGCATAACGCGACGAACCACCAGATATACAAGGAGGTGGAGCAGTGCTTCGATGTGCTCAAGAACCAAGTCACGGCCCAAGTCTCGATCCGGTCCAATATCTCACTCCCCGTGGATTGTCACTTGCAATGACGCGCGCCCTCCCGGAGTTAAGTTTTTCTTATTTCTCCTCTTCCTATTAACACCACAAACAGAGATGAGAAACAACCAAAATAAGAGAACGCGAAGCCAAAGCATTCTTTCCGTGGAAAGTGGTGAATTTGCCAGGTTCCATCTCCTGTACAATGAGAAACAAAGAAATCGACAGCACCAACGTGCTCAACGCTTTGATTCGTAAAGGCTGGCCAAGAGCACGTAGGCTGCTCCCTGGTCGTCACCATCGCCGGCTTTCATCCACGACTCAAAGGCGAGCTTGCCAACCTCGGCGTTTCGGAAGATGCGGCTCGCGCTCAGCACGGTGCTCCAAGTCACGGCATTGGGCTTGTAAGGCATCGCTTCGACGAGCTTCACCACCTCGTCCAGTCGGTTGGCACGTCCCAGCGAGTCGACGATGCAGTGGTAGTGCTTGATCCCTGGAAGCGTCCCAAACTTTGAGAGCATGGAATGGAAAAAGTACCTGGCAGTCTCGACGAGGCCACCGCGGCTGCAAGCGATGAGCAGGCACACGAAAGTCACGGCGTTTGGGCGGAGTCCCTCGTCGAGCAGCGCGTGGAAGAGCTCCAGCACCTCTCTCGTGTTGACCTGGCGGCTATGCCCGGCTACCAGCGTGTTCCAAGTCACTAAGTTCCTGGTGGTGGATGAAGAAGTGGCAGCGAAGACACACCCAGCGTCCTCCATGCTTCCACACTTGGCGTAGGCGTCGAGCAAGCTATTCGTGAGAAGCACCACCTCCTTCTCCTCGGACGACGACAAGAGCCCACGTCGGTTGATCTTTCCATGGACGAGCTTCGTCCTCTCCAGCGCAACCAAGCTTCCGCAAGCTTTGAGTGCCGCGGCAAAGCTAAGAACGTCTGGAGCGCAGTCCATCCGAGCGAAGAGCTCCAGGGCCACTTCTCCCTCGTCGCTCTCCGCGTAGCCGAGCATCAGAGCGTTCCAGAACACCACGTCCCGGCAGTGGATCATCGCCTCAAAGACTCGACGAGCACGGGACAGGCTTCCACACTTGGAGTACAAGTCGACGAGCGTGCTGGCCACGAATCTGTCCGAGTGGAAGCCACTATTCTCAGCCTGTTCGTGCAAAGCTATGCCTCTTCCCAAGCACCTGGCCTTGACAAGCTTCCCAGATACTTGCTTCGCGTTCTCCATCGCTGCCAGGCCAGTCCAGGCCTTGAGTGCCGCCACAAAGCTTCGTGAGTCCGATGGCAAGCCTTGTTGGAGCATTCTCGCAAAAACTTCCAGAGCGGCATCTGGTTCTTCGTTTTGCGCGTAGCCGAGCATAAGTCCGTCCCACGAAACAACCGTGTGCACTGGCATCCTTGCGAAGGCCCTGGAAGCGTCAGCCATGCTTCCACACTCTCCATACAAGTCCACCAGCGAGCTTCCCACGCAGACGTCGAGATCACACCCAAACTTTCGAGCCTGCGCGTGAATAGCCATGCCTTTCTCCAAGCTTTCCAGCTTCACGGGCCTGCCGCAAACTTCCACCCCGGCCTCCTTCGTCGCCAAGCAAAGGCAAGCTTTCAAAGCAGCGACGAACGTCCCAGCAGTGAGCTCTTCCCAGCATCGTCGCAGCGTCGCCATTCTCTTCTCGAACAGCTCCAGAGTAACTTCCGGTCTCCCGTTTCTCGAGTAGCCCAGCATGAGAGCGTTCCACGACACGGCAGTGTGTCGAGGCATCCTGTCAAACACCCGCTGGGCGCTCACCACGCTTCCACACTTCGCGTACATGTCCACCAGCGTGTTTGCGATGTAGATATCGTCCTCGAATCCGAGCTCCACGGCTTGGCAGTGAAGGACCCTCCCTCTCTCCAAGATCTCGGCCTTGGTAACTTTCTTCTCCTCTGCCAAGCTCGCGCAAGCCTTTACTGCCGCCACCAAAGTCCGAGCATTCGGCTCGCATCCTTCCACTCCCATGCACGACACCAGCTCGAGCGCCACCTCTTCCTCACCATTGTCTACATATCCCAGCACCAGAGCCGTCCAGGAAACCACGCTCCTACAAACCATCCGGTCGAAAACCATCCGGGCATCGACCAAGCTCCCACACTTCACGTAAGCATCGAGCATGGAATTCGCCACAAAGATGTCCGAGTCACAGCTCTTCTCCACTGCCTGGAAGTGGACTCCCATTGCTCGCACCAGCGCTCCAAGTTTCACGAGCCTTCCATCGATGATCTCGCCTTCCTCGGCAGCGGCCAAGTTGGAGCAGGCCTTGGCGGCTGCCACAAACGTCCACGAGTTTGGAGCACAGCCTTCTTCTCGTTCCATCCTTTCAAGCGCCTCGAGAGCTAAGATCTCTTCCTTGTTCTCCGCGTAGCCGAGCATCAAGGCCGTCCAGGACACCACATTGCGACTGGCCATCCCATCGAAGACCCTCCGCGCATCCGTCAAGCTCCCACACTTGGCGAACATCGAGATCAGTGAATTTGCCACGGAAATCCGCGAGATCTCCCCTCCTTCCACCGCATCGCTGTGGAGCTTCCATCCTCTCTGCAGATCCCTACTTCTAGCGCACTCCTGGATCGCTGCGATGACGCTGTGCGATCGAGTTCCCGATTCCTCATCGCAGTCTCGCAAAGATTTCCTCGCGGAGCAGCGCCGCAAGTGATTTCTCGTGTTTCTCCCCTACCCGTGGATCTACATTTCTCTTCTTGGCGCCATGGATTCTCCCTTCTATGGATTCTATAAACCCTAAAACCTGGAAGGCTCGAGAATATGCGCGAGCCCTAATAGAGGCCTCTAGAAGCTTTTCTTATTCTAGGGTTTTCGTTCGTGCGAGGGAGCTGCGCAGGGCGCATCGATCGATCGATCGAGGTAGGCTAGAATCACTCCGTCAGCACCTCTCACTCTACTCGATTCTCTCCCAGGAGCATGGCGGATGAGGCAAAAGCGCGCGGCAATGCCGCTTTCTCGGCAGGGAATTTCGAAGAGGCGATCAAGCATTTCTCGGACGCGGTTGCTCTAGCTGGGACGAACCATGTCCTCTACTCCAATCGCTCCGCATGCTACGCATCGCTCCACAAGTACCAGGAGGCTCTCGAGGATGCAAAGAAGACTGTGGAGCTCAAGCCGGATTGGCCGAAAGGTTACAGCAGGCTTGGCGCTGCCTATGTCGGCCTCAAGAAATTCCCCGATGCGGTCTCGGCCTACAAGAAGGGACTCGAGTATGATCCTAGCAACGAGGCTCTCAAGTCGGGCTTGGCGGACGCACAGGAATCCATGTCAGGGGGAGGGCAGCCATCGCCTTTCGGGAATTTGTTCCAGGGTCCAGATGTGTGGGCGAAGCTCCAGCAGGATCCCAGGACCAAAGGGTTTCTCGCGCAGCCGGATTTCTTGAAGATGATGCAAGACCTCCAGAGAAATCCCAACGCGCTCAACCTTTACATGAACGATCCTAGGATGATGCAAGTTCTAGGAGTTCTACTTGGTGTGAACATCCACACGCCTTCCAAGGAGGAAATGGAGAAGGGTGTTTTTGAGGAGGAACAGGAAGCATCGTCTCAGCCATCCGAGACTAGTAGGCGTGAGACAAGCAAGCCTGCTGCTCCTGCTCCAGAGCCGGTCCCGGAACCGATGGAGATACCGGATGAAGATAGAGAGAAAAAGGAAAAGAAAGCGGCGGCTATAAAAGCGAAGGAGGCCGGGAACGAGGCGTATAAGAAGAAGGATTTTGAGGCGGCATTGGCGAATTACTCCAAGGCAATCGAGCTTGACGACGAGGATATCTCCTACCTCACAAACAGAGCAGCGGTCTACCTTGAAATGGGAAAGGTACTGTTTCTTATTTGTTATTACCACCTTCTGTGGTTGTTTCTCACTTTCGATGGTTTCTTACGGCAAACAGTACGAAGAATGCATCAAAGATTGCGATCAGGCAGTCGAGCGTGGAAGGGAATTGCATTCAGACTACAAGATGGTAGCAAAGGCGCTGACGCGGAAGGGATCGGCTTATGTCAAGCTGGCTAAGTGTGCCAAGGACTACGAGCCTGCTATCGAGATCTTCAACAAGGCTTTGACAGAACACCGTAATCCGGACACTTTGAAAAAACTCAATGATGCAGAGAAAGTCAAGAAGGAACTTGAGCAAAAGGAGTACTTTGATCCCAAGATTGCCGACGAGGAGAGAGAAAAAGGTACCTTAAGTCATGAATTGTGCTTGACTTCGTTCTTTTCTTCCTTTTAACTGTTAGGCAACGATTATTTCAAGGAGCAAAAGTATCCCGAGGCAGTGAAGCATTACTCGGAGGCTCTTAGGAGGAATCCGAATGATGTGAAGGTATCACGCGTGATTTTGTGTGTGATAGCCACTGAGCTTGCCCTCTCTTTGCATGCAGGCTTACAGCAACAGAGCAGCAAGCTACACGAAACTCGGTGCCTTCCCCGAAGGGTTGAAGGATGCTAACAAGTGCTTGGAGATCGATCCTTCTTTTATCAAGGGATACTCGCGCAAGGGGGCAATCCAATTCTTCATGAAGGAGTATGACAAAGCATTGGAAACTTACCAGGTAAAACTTGAAGGTAGAATGAAAAGACCTCACTTTTAACGTGTGTTCTCGTTTCCTCGATAGACCGGGTTGAAGTACGATGAACACAACCAGGAAATGATGGATGGGATCCAAAGGTAATTCACCGAAACTTTTCTTTTAATGACAAAGACTCTCCCTTTTTCCCCAGATGCGTCGAGCAGATCAACAAGACGAACAGAGGAGACATTAGCGCCGAAGAGCTCAAAGAACGCCAGGTTAGCTTTTCTTGTAGTGAGTGCTTCGAGTGTGTTCTTATTTCTCTTTCCACCGTTCAGGCCAAGGCTATGCAAGACCCCGAGATCCAGGGCATTCTCTCGGATCCAGTAATGCGACAGGTATGAGATCGATTTTTCTCGATTCTTCGTCTCAACTTGAAATGGATTTTCTGGTTTGGTGTTGTAGGTATTGATCGATTTCCAGGAGAGTCCAAAGTCAGCTCAAGACCACATGAAGAACCCTATGATCATGGCAAAGATCCAGAAGCTTGTGGCCGCTGGCATTGTCCAAGTGAGATAGTTGACTGGGCCTCTAGTGGTAGGAATTTTGCTGATTCGCTTCCTATTATGTCATTGATAATGGTCATGTGATGATGCGTCCGCCACCTTTTATAGTTAGGTATGCTCTCTTCTACCAACAACATGTCCAAATACATGGGAGGTGGAAGTCATAAGATCTGTACGGAGTAAGTTTAAAATTCTCGGGCGGGCGGAAGATTTCGCTGGCGCCGTACGCTTTGTCACTATTGAGTCTCAAGTTCAAATCTTCTTAGCGTCTAGAATGTCCAATAATTGATACATTGGCGATTATTTTGACTCGGACATGGATAAGTTTTGATCAAATATCTTTACAATGCGTTGTGGTTGTAGGGTTTGCCGGCGGCTGTTTGAATTGTCCGGCCAGCCAATTTTTGTATGTGTGGCCCAAGGCTGACCGATGTTTCTGCCGGTAGATGTATGTAGACAATGTCGATGATGGGCCATGCTAAGTACGGCACGATTGTAAACTGTCCAAGAGTGACGTCAGCCCTAGTACGGGTGTGCTCGGTACGACCGCCAAGGGAGAAGATTATCTTTTCTCCCTTATCCCTTGCCTCGTTCCATTGCGGGCGCATTTAGGGTTTCCATCTTTCCGGCTTCTTTTACTCGCCTTTCTTTATCTTTTATGGTTGCCCTCCCTCTGGAGATAATGCGCGAGGAACAGGGACGAAGAACACTGCTACCACTGGCGCGGAGGATTTCGCCTAGAATCTGGTGATGGATTGTTGAAATTATGGATTCCTGACGCTCGCTAGGGCCGGGAAGGAGCCAGCAGCGATCGGTCGATGGCAACGAGCGTCAAGAACGAGCTCCTGGCGGCGTCCCCCCCTCCATTCCACTGGCCGGCGTCGATCTTCTCACCTCCTCCTCCTCAATCGCAGCATTCTCTGGCCATGCGCGAAGATTGTGGCAGCGGCGTGTGGGATCACTGCTCCGCGGCGGCTGGATCGGGCGCTCTCTCGCCGCTGAGCGAGTATCTCATGCAGCCGGACGAGGAAATCTTGTCCATGTCCTCGCTCGATGCCGCTAGCAGCAGCTTCCAGTCGGGATTGACGACGGACGAGGAGGAGGAGCAAGGGTTCTTTGCCGGATTATCGGCGAATTCTTGCTCCTCGGCCTCCAACACGTCCCCCTCCTCGGCCTCTCACCACTACCAGCAATTCGACCCCAACAGCCCGCCCGGCAACGTCCTCCTCCACTCGGTGGTGCGCTCCAAAATCCACGAGATCAACAGCAGGCTCTTCGACGACGAGGACGACGGCATCGATCAGCTCATCACGACCGACGGCGTCGTCATCGATTCCTCGCCCTCGCTGGAGCAGCAGCACGGCTACCAGCCCGTGGCGATGCCGCCGCCAGCGCCGATTCTCCCATTCCGCTCACACCAGGACTCGTTTGGGACGATACGATCGTTCGATTTCCAGCAGCCCATCCAGCCGGCCTTCGCGAGCTGGACGCACGGTACGTGGCACGTCCACCCCACGGTGCCGCCGCCGCTGCCGCCGGCGGTACGCGGGCCGGCGTGGCAGCACCGCGGAGGTATACCGCACGGTACGGTGCCTGTGCCGCCGGCGCCGGCAAGCACCGTGGCGGTGCCGGGCGGTATACCGCACGACGGCTCCCAGGACCCACAGGTGCTACTCGTCCAGCTGCTAGTGATGTGCGCCCACGCGGTGGCGGAGGACAACGAGAGCATCGCCCAGATGATATTGGCGCGTCTCAGGCAGCACACTGGGCCGGAGGGGACGCCCATGGAGAGGCTGGCGTCCTACTTCACCGAGGCGCTTGCCGCGCGGATCGATCACTCCACGGGCTCTGCCCTCTTCAAGGGCCTGCTCAGCGACAAGCTGCTCGAGTCGGATGGATCCACGCAGGCCAGCATGCTCGAGGCGTTCAGCACCTTCTACGACTACCTCCCCATCGGCAAATTCGACCACCTCACCATGAACCAGGTAATCCTCGACGCCGTGGAGCGCGAGCGCGCCATCCACATCCTCGACCTCCAGCTCTGGTTTGGCACCCAATGGCCGGCGCTGCTGCAAGCTCTCGCAACTCGCCCCGGAGGACCACCTAGAGTGAGGATCACGGCAGTGGGCTCTTCCGCGGACGACCTAGCAGCCACTGGCGACAAGCTCCACGAGTGTGCCAAGACGCTGCGCGTCCATCTCGTGTACAAGGCCTTGCTACTGCCCAAGGCGGACAAGTTCCATGCCGGGCTCGTCAACCTCCATCCCGGCGAGGCCTTCATCGTCAACAGCCTCAGCCAGTTCCACTACCTCCTGCAGCCCTCCACTTCCGACTCGGACACCTCCTTCGGCGGATTCATGGCTCACATCCGAGCTCTCCGGCCCAAGGTGCTCGTCATGGCGGAGAACGACGCCAGCCACAACAGCTCCGACTTTCTCAAGCGATTCGGGGAGTGTCTCAAGTACTACTCGGCGGTGTTCGACGCCATGGCGACGTGCGCGAGCTCGCCCAGCGGGAGGTTGAAGATGGAGAGGCTCTTTGCGGCGCCAAAGATCCGGAACATCATCGCGTGCGAGGGGCCTAACCGGGTGGAGCGTCACGAGAGCATGGCGGACTGGAGCAAGCGGCTGGAGGTGGCGGGGTTTCGGCCATCGCCGCTCAGCCAGAGGGCCGTCAACCAGGCCAAGCTGCTACTCCGCCTCTACTACACGAATGGCTACACGCTCCACAGCGAGAGAGGCTCGCTGGTTCTCGGGTGGAGGAATTTGCCGCTCAACACGGTATCGGCCTGGAGAGTCGCGTGATCTCTTGAAAGTTGGATCGATCGATCGATGGGACAATGGAAAGTTTTCTCTCTTTTTACTTTCGTTTTTTTATCATATCACTTCGGTCTTCGATTCAACAAAGCGAGTTGGCTCTCTGCAAGCTTGGAACGATCGATCTATCGATCGGATTTTTATTCGAGTAGAGACTGAAAGAAATTGTGGTTTGTAGCTTTTTTCCCAATTGAGCTCCCCTGTGCATAGGATTTGGCAAGGAATCCAATAAGGTTCGCTCTAGATACCCCTCGAGTCAATCAATCAGCCAAGAAAAAAATGGCATCTTCTGGGAATCTCCGGTCCCTCTAGTGTCGACACGAAATGGATAAGGCTGGGTTTCTTTTTTTCTTCTTCTTGTGGTGCTGCACTGTGGCGATTTTTTGGATGGAAGCACACAACGCGACCCTTCGCGGAGAAAAAATTAGTTATTTTTATCGCAAAGCCTTTGTTGGATTGCTACGTGCACCACTTTGAGGGCAAGAAATTCTCGTGTGTTTGGGAAAGGTGGTGGCGCACAAAGGATCTTCGCAAGAGCATATCGCATTACATTCTCTACCAGTGGGTTGAGTCGAGATTTCGAATAATCTTGCAATGAAAGTGGCTGGATCCAACTCGATCCATCCATAGATCGATCCAACAAAAAATCGAAAGGGCACAGACAGGAGAGCGGATTGTTTACGTGAAGTTTGTTCGATAGCTACCTCTCGCTCTGTCCTTGCAGTATTTTTTTCCTCCTTCTCCAAGCTCCAAAACAATCTTTCTCTCTGCATTTGGTGGCACAGCTGGTCCACACAGATATATGTTCACAAAACTCATTTCCATTCACTCTGGTCAGCCACAGCGTCGCTTTCGATCGATCGCATTCACGCCATAGCCAAGAACACAAGACACCTTACCAGCTCGAGCCAATTTGAAGCTCCCAGACAAGCGCCATAGAATAAAGAAGATAATGATAGGCCGAGAACCCTAATTGAATACCATCCGTTGGATGGTCCTATATCCAACGGCTAACATTTGATTAAGCCGAATATTCTCGCTCTGGCAAGACATGGCCTTGGCCTCGTCGCCGATTTCGCCAACGCGATCAAGAGCTGCAAGGATCTCCACAAATGCCGGCTTCTCCACAGCAAGATCCTCTCCGGCCCCTGCAATCACGACCGATACCTCTCCAATCTCCTCATCGACACGTATGGCAAGCTGGCCAGTATCGAGAGCGCTCGCGCCGTCTTCCACGCGATGGGCGATCCCAATCACTTCTCCTGGAACATCTTGCTGGGCGCATTCGCCCAGAATGCCCACATCGACGACGCGAAGACCACTTTCGATCGCATGCCGCAGTGGGATCTCGTCTCGTGGAACGCGCTAATCTCCGCATTTGCCCATCACGGGCATTCGGAGGAGGCCAAGGCGATGTTCCTGGCGATGGAGAATCGTGACGTCGTGTCCTGGAGCTCCGTGATCAAAGCCTACGCGCAGTCCGGACTCGTCGATAAGGCCTCGCAAGTCATGGATCGCATTCCCAAATGGGACGTCCAATCCATCACCGGCATGGTCGCAGCATTTGCCCAGAACGGGCACCTTGACGCTGCGAGCGCGATGTTCGATCGAATGGAAGAACGCAACGTCGTCGTGTGGACGGCGCTCATCACCGGCCTCTCGCTGAGTTACCAGATCGAAGAGGCGGAGACAATCTTTAGATTGATCCCCGGGAGGGACGTGATCGCGTGGAACGCGATGATCACGGCGTATAGCCAAAATGGCGACCCCCACACGGCCAAGCTCCTCTTCGACGTAATGCCGGAGCGCAACGTGGTGACGTGGACGACCCTGATTGTCGTGCTGGCAGACCACGGTGACCTGTGCGACGGACGCGGTACCTACCTGCGGATGCCGCACGTCAACGTAGTAGCGTCCAATGCGATGATCCAGGCCAACGCCCACCACGGTGAGCACGACGCGGCAAAAGGAATCTTTGACGGGATGCGAGAGTGGGACCTTGTCTCCTGGAACTGTCTTCTCACGCTCTACACGGAGGCAGGGAACCTCGCTGACGTGGAGGGCGTCTTCCACGCCATGCCCGACCGGGATGACGTGTCGCGCAACGCGATGCTTGCGGCGTATGTCCGCTGGGGCCACCTGGACAGCGCCACGTGCCTGTTTGACGCGATGCCACGTCGCGGGATCGTGTGCTGGAACACCATGGTCACCGCGCACGCCAATGCGGGCGTCACCGCGCGGGCGAAGTGGCTTTACGACACCATGCCGCAGTGGAATATCCTTTCGGTCACGGCGATGCTCACCGCGTACTCTAACCGCGCGTTTGTAGAAGATGCCGAGGATCTCTTCATGCGGCTGCCGCAGCGCACCGCGGTAGCGTGCAACATTATGATCGTGATGTACAGCGAACAGGAGGATCTAGAATCAGCGGTCGGCATATTTTCTAAGATGCCACAGCACGATCTTATCTCGTGGAACGCGCTTGTTTCAGCATATGCCGCAAATGGGCATCCGCTGCAAGCGAGAGTTTCTCTCGATTCCATGCCCAAGAGAGACGTGGTATCGTGGACGACGGTGGTGGCTGGATATACCCAAACTGGTGATATCGACAAGGCCATCTCCGCCATGAATCGGATGCCAATGTGGGATCTCGTGACCTGGAACGTGATGATCTCGGCGTACGCAGGGATTGGAAACTGTGTCATAGCAAAGAAAATGTTTGATGACAAGCAGCAACGGAATCTCATCTCATGGAATGGACTGATCGCGGCCTACGCCCAAACCGGAAACTTGGCACTCGCGGTCGCCAGCTTCCACAAGATGCCCGAATGGGACTCCATCTCTTGGATCGGGCTCATCGTGGCCTACGCGCAATGCGGCCACGTATCCGACGCCTGTGCGATGTTCGAGGATATCCCTTCCCGCGGGACGCTGGCGTTCTCCGCGATCCTGGGGGCATATGCCCACACTGGGTATCACAGCGAGGCCGGGGAGGTCTTCCGGGCAATGCAGCTCGAGGGCGTACGTCCAACCAAGGTTTCGTACATGGCGCTTCTCACAGGTTTCAGCTATGGCGGGATGCTGGACGAGTGCCGAGAGGCCTTCGTGGGGATGCTGTCGTCGGGGATCTCTCCGGCGATCCAGCACTTTCGCAGCGTTGTCGACGTTATCGGGCGAGCAAAGGACCCGGGGGATGCGGAAGAACTGATCAGAACGATGCCGTATGTGGCGGACTCGGTGGTGTGGACGTCGCTGCTCGGGGCGTGTCGCATGCACGGGGATCTGGAGAGAGCGGCGCTGGCGGCAAGAAAGGTGACGGAGCTCGAGCCCGACATCTCGGTTCCGTATGTGCTGCTGGCCGAGATGATCAAGAGCGAGAGTGGCAGCGACAGTGACGAGCTCGCGAAAGGTATAGATTCGTGAACTCGCTTTCGTGCTTTCTTCCTTGTGTCCAAATGGTGGACTCCCAAGCTTGGAGCTTCGGTAAAGACAAAAGAGATCCCGAGACAAACCACGTCAAGTCAAGGGTGGGCGATTTTAGGAAATCGAGACGGACAGTGATCGCAATCTATCTTGGCCAGCAATGGCAATAGCAAACGACAGTGATATCTAGCTTGGCCAGAAATGGCAATAGCACGAAGATCTCCACTGCTGCTAGCTTTGCTCTTGGCGATTTCCAGCTCCTCGCTTCTTCACGGCCATCACATCTCTAGCTGCCGTTGCCTCCACGGCGATCCAAATTGCTGGCCCCAGGATCGCGACTGGAAGATCTTCAATGCCTCAATCCAAGGCCGGCTCATCGCGGTCAAGCCCCCGGCATGGCCTTGCCACGATCCCCAGTACGACCATCATCTCTGCGAGCTCGCCACCGAGAATTGGAGCGATCCCACCTGGAGATCCGACCAGCCGGGAGCGATGATGGCCGATAACTGGGAGATGGACGACGCCCGCAACGAGAGCTGCTCCATCCGCGACCCGAGGAGCTCGCGTTGCGAGCAAGGGTCAGTGCCGGTCTACGCGGTCAATGTTAGTCACGTCTTCCAGGTGGAGCTTGCGGTGGCTTTCGCTAGCAAGCACAACCTTCTCCTTGTGGTAAAGAACACTGGTCACGACTACCTTGGAAGAAGCACTGCGAGGGGATCGCTCAGCATTTGGATGCATCACTTGCGGGAGCTGCGCTTTCACGGTGATCTTGGCTGTGATCAAGCAGAGCATTGCGACGATCTAGGGCTAGATCCAGCGGCGTATGTGACGATTGGAGCTGGAGTGACTTGGAACCAGCTCTACGAGGCCGCGCTGGAGCACAGGCGCGATATTGTGGGAGCTTCGTGCCCGTGGGTTGGAGCTGCCGGTGGATTCGCACAAGGTGGCGGGCACAGCTTGCTCTCTCCAGTCTTTGGCCTCGCGGCGGACAATGTTGTGGAGCTCCAAGTTGTGACGGCTGATGGGAAGCGAAAGGTGGCGAGCGAGTGCCAAAACGAGGATCTCTTCTGGGCGCTCAGAGGTGGCGGCGGAGGTACGTTTGGAGTCGTGGTTTCACTCACTTACAGAACGTATCCGGCTCTCGAGAACGCAATCTTTGCGAGCGTGAATGTGACTGCCAAAGATCGCCCCAGTTTTGAGACGCTTCTCGAGGAGTTTGCACGGATGAATCCGGAGCTTTCATCTGATGGCTGGTCTGGTTTCTTCAATGTCGGCAACTTTTCACTCTCCTTGAGATACGTGCTTCCAAACAAGACCTTGGCATTCGCTCGCTCCAGCTTGAATTTTCTCCTCGGCTTCCAGCACAACCGGATTCAAACCCACTATTCTCTCAAATCCTACGCATCCTTCTACGAGCTCATTCAGCAAGCACTGTGCGGAAGCGATCCAAGCTGTCCCAACGTTGGCGGGCTGGCAGGGAATCCAGTTCTTCCAGCTTCACGTCTTATCCCAACTCAAGCTCTAAACTCTTTCCCAACCAAAGTCTCTAGAGCACTCGCGAAGATAGCTCTCGACTTCCAAGTTCCAATCGTGGGTGCCTTCGTCGCTGGTGGCCAAGTCTCTGTGCCTCGGGACAGCGCCGTGAATCCCGCCTGGAGAGATTCGCTGTGGCTCGTCATTGTTTCGGTGAGCGCCCCAAGATCACAGAGAAAAGAGGCAGCGACGCTGGTCTCGAGGGCCAACAAGGTGTTGATCGATATCACACCCGGATCTGGGAGCTACATGAACGAGGCCGACTACAACGAGCCACACTTCCACAGATCGTTCTTTGGAAGTCATTACAAGCGGCTCTACGAGATCAAGCAGCGCGTGGATCCGGGAGGGCTCTTTGTGTGCCATCACTGCGTAGGGAGCGAGGACTGGACCCAGGATCTTAGATGCAAAACCCAGTCAAACAAGTCAATCAACAAGATTGACTAAAAGTGACATAATCCAACTAAGTAATATCAAATGCGCAGCTGGTGTAGTGGTATCATAGTACCCTCCCACGGTACTGACCGGGGTTCGATTCCCCGGCTGCGCAATTTTAAATAAATACGTGGCTTTTGCCACGTGGACAATTTTTTTTTCTTTTGACATGTCACGTGTTTTACTTCCAGAGAATGTAGGGTTCTTGAGGATGAGGGCGCTGCTTTCCCTGGTGCGCCCAGCCTGTGGTTTTGTTTCTCGAGCGATCTCTCCCTCTCGATCGCGCTATGCCACTCATCAGATCTTCACTGCATCGGCCAGAAACCAGCCATGGGGATTCCGTGGATTCACATCGTCGAGGATTCTGGGCACGGTGTACGAGGACGTGAGGAGGGAGCTACGGTGGAAGAAGCGCAAGAAGCTCATCAGATTGGGGCTCAAGAAGAGGAAGAGGAAGAAGAAGCGCAGGGGGAAGGGGATCTGGGCGGAGCCTTGCAAGGCGGAGCAAGAGCGGCAGAAGGATCACTCGCGCTGCATCATCGCGCCCTACGCCGACGCGCAGATGTGGCCCAGGATGAGCTGCGAGCGCGACCGCCGGCACGTCCTCAAGGCCTTGAACACTACGCTCGTCCACTTCGGCCAGATCAATAGCACCATGAGAAGGGAGTAGTCGATTGGTAGAGCTAGAGATGGAATGCCAGAGCTTAGATATCGCGGGAGTGGATTCCATGCTGGAGGGGCATTTTCTCTCCCTGGCAGCATTTGCCCAGAATGGGCATTTGGAGGCAAACTAGTCAACTATGCTGACCATGGTTGACTTATTTGACTGGAATTTTGCACCTAAGGTCTTGGGTCCGGTCCTCGCTCCCTACGCAGTGATGCTGCTTGATCTCATAGAGCGGCTTGTAGTGGCTTCCATAAAACGATCTCTGGAAGTGTGGCTCGTTGTAGTTGGCCTCGTTCATGTGGCTCCCAGATCCAGGCGTGATATCGATCAACAAGCATTGTTGCCTCTCTCCTTTGTGATCTCGGAGCATTCACGAAGGCAATGACGAGCAACAGGGAATCTCTCAAGGCGGGATTAACTGCGTTGTTGCGAAGCACCGAGACTTGGCCGCCAGCGATGACGCAGCCCAGGATTGGAACCTGAAAGTCGAGAGGTATCGTCAGGAGTGCTCGAGAAGCTTTGGCTGGGCAAAGTTGGGACGAGACGTGAAGCTGGAAGAACTGGATATCACAGTTTGGATTGATGATTTTGTAGAGGGATGTATAGGATTGGAAAGAATAGTGTGTCTGAATCTGGCTGTGCTGGAAGCCGAGGAGAGAACTCAAGCTGGAGCGAGCCTTGTTTGGAAGTACGTATCTCAAGGGGGGAGAAGTTTCTGATATCGAAAAAACCAGACCAGCCATGAGATGAAAGCTCCGGATGCACCCGCGCAAACTCCTCGACGAGCGTCTCAAAGCTTGGGCGATCTTCGGCAGTCAAGTCACGCTTGAAAAGATTGTGTTCTCGAAACTGTAAGTGAGTGAAACCACGACTCTCCGCCGCCACCTCTGAGAGCCCAAAAGAGATCCTCGTTCTGGCACTTGTTCGCCACCTTTCGCTTCCCATCAGCCGTCACGACTTGGAGCTCCACAACATTGTCGGAAACGCTGGAGCGAGCAAGCGCCCACAATCTCGCGCCTGTGCTCCATCGCCGCCACGTAGAGCGGTTCCAAGTCCGATCGCCACATACGCCGCTGGATCTCGCCCTCGATCACAGCCAAGATCACCGTGAGAGCGCACCTCTTGCAAGTGATGCATCCAAATGCTGAGCGCTCCCCTCGCAGTGCTCCTTCCACTGTAGTCGAAAGCCTCCACCTGGGAGACTTGACTAACATTGACCGCGTAGACCGGCACTGACCCTTGCTCGCGAGCCGGGATCGCGCCAATTCTCGGTGGCGAGCTCGCAGAGACGATGGTTGTAGTGGGGATCGTGATGAGCCGGCCTGGCCTTGAAGATCTTCCAGTCGCAATCGTGGGGCCGTGGCTAGAGATCCCGGGCTTGGCGAGGCGCTGGAAATCGCCAAGAGCAATGTTAGTAGGAGTGGAGCCATTGCTGGTCTAGCTAGATTGTGATCACTGTCTATTTTATTTCGCGGGAGTGATTAAGATCGTTCTCCGATCACATGGGTTGTCTTTGGAATCTTTACAGATTGACAGCCAAGGAAGCAAGAAAACGAATTCATGGATCTATACTTTTTGCGAGCTCGACTGTTGTTGGCAGCATTTGCCCAGAATGGGCATTTGGGGGAGGCATAGATTTTGCTGCGAGAGATCATCGATGATCATCAAGTTCTACTCGCCAAGTTCGTCACAAGTGCGTAAGCTGCCGCATCTTCATTCACCACAGCCAAATTCTCGAAGGCCATCTTTCCGAGAGCCACATTTTCCCACTTGTGACAAGCACCCAGCACGGTCTTCCACGCCACCGGAGTGACTCCATCGCTACTACGATCCACCATTGCTTTGGACACCGTCGCCACGGCGAGATCCATCTCGTTACTCCGTCCCAGGCCGTCAACCAGGCAATTGTAGTGCTGCGAGCTCGGCGAAACTCCAAACTTGGAGCTCATGATCTCCAAGAACTCCGAGCACAGTCTTACATCACCGGCGTGGCTGCAAGCAGAGAGGATGTGCACGAAAGTTATGGCGTTCGCTGCTAGCCCCTCGTCGATCATCCTGTGGAACAACCCCACCACCGTGCGAGCGTCACCTCTCCTGCTGAATCCCGCCATCAAAGAGTTCCAAGTTACCGGATCTCTCGCCTCCATGGCCGAGTCGAAGACGAACTGGGCGTTTTGCAAGCTTCCACACTTGCCGTAGACGTCGACGAGGCTGTTTGCTACGACGGTGTTGGCCTCGAAGCCGGACCTCGCGACGTGAGCATGGAGAAGCTTGCAAACTTCCGTCGATGGAACGCAGGAGCCACAGGCCTTGAGAGCTGCGACGAGAGTGAAAACATCCGGCTCGACTTGCTGCTCGCGTTTCATCCTGGAGAAGAGCTCCAGTGCCATGCCGGGGTCACCGGTTTCTACACACCCGAGTATGATCGAGTTCCACGAGACCACGTCGCGGCGAAAAGTCTCGAAAACCCGGCGAGCGTCGTCCAGGCTTCCACACGCTGCGTACGAATCCACCAGGCCGTTGTGGAGGATGCCATCCGAGCTGAAAAACCCGGCCTTTGCTGCTCGAGAGTGAATCGCCATGACCATCTCCAGGCTCCTCACTTTGACGATCTTTCCAGCGGCGAGCTCGCCATCTTCTCTCGATGCGAGACCGACGCAAGCTTTGAGAGCAGCACTGAAAGTCCGGCCGTTCGGTTCGCAGGCTTCTTCGATCCGAGAGAAAGCCACCAAAGCCGATTCTTCCATCCGATTCTCCGCGAAGCCGAGAATGATCGTGTTCCAAGACACCACGTCTCGGCATCGCATTCTCGAGAAGACCCTGTAAGCGTCGTCCATGCTTCCACACCTCGAGTACATGTCCACCAGCGCGTTTGCCACGAACAAGTCGGAGTCGAAGCTTTCCACTCGAGCTTGGCGGTGGAAAGCCATGCCTTTCTCCAAGCTCCTCATCTTGACCACCGAGTTTCTTCCTCCATCCTTGCTCCATCTCTCTTCTCTAGCCGCCAGACCAGAGCAGGCCTTGAGCAGCGCCACGAAAGTCCGAGCGTTTGGAGCACAGCCACCTGCGAGCATTCGATGGAAGAGCTCAAAGACTTGGATTTCTTGCTTGGACTCTACGTACCCGAGCATCAGGGCGGTCCAGGAGACGACGTTGGGAGCGCGAATTTTGTCCAGGGCTCTGCGAGCATCCACCAGACCTCCACACCTCGCGTAGGCGTGGACGATCTTGCTCGCAATGTAGACGTTTGCGTCCATTCCACTCTGGATGGCGGCAAGGTGGGCTTCTCTCGCCATCCAAAGGCTTTTGGAGCTGATAGAGCCATCGAGCGCCGCGAGCAAGGCGCAAAATTTCGAGCTTGCGCTCGTTCTTCCCTCCAATCGCTGTGATTTCGTGTTGTTTGTAAGCTCCCCGCTGCTATGGCAAGAACATGAAGGAATTTCGCGCTTCCACAGAATGGAAATCGATCAGTCGCGAGCTCCACAGTGTGAATTGAGAGGTTTACCTGCTGGATCGAGAAATACGACATCGATGCCAAAATCCCCAAGAACCCTAAAATATTGTTCTTTCCCTTCATTAGGGTTTATCGGGATCATGCGGGATGCGCCTTCGTTCCGCGCTTCCGCGATCTTCATTGCGGCCGTCGCCGTGCTGATTCGTCTTCTCACAGGCCTCCATTCGTATTCTGGTCAGTTTTCTCGCGAAGAAATCTCGCTTCTTGAATCGGATCTCTTCCAGGCGCTGGAAATCCTCCCAAGTATGGAGATTACGAAGCGCAGCGGCACTGGATGGAGCTAACGATCAACCTGCCCGTCTCGGACTGGTACCGCAACACTACTGACAACGATCTTGGCTACTGGGGCCTGGATTATCCTCCTCTCACGGCCTACCAGAGCTACATACATGGAGTTTTCATGCGAAAGTTTGACGAGCAGTCGGTTGCATTGCATTCTTCCAGAGGCTATGAATCTCTCCACAGGTATGTCATGCTCTAGTTGCGCTTCTCCTTTTCATTTCTCTAACTTGCAAGTCTGGGCAGCAAGGTTCTCATGCGATGGACTGTGGTGTTATCGGACCTTGCTATTTTTTTCCCGGCAGCTATAGCTTTCGTTGCGGCTTATTATCGCCAGAGAAGTCATGAAGAGCGTGTCTGGGTTCTAGCGCTTATTCTGTTGCAACCGGCTCTGATATTGATCGATCACGGACACTTTCAGGTTCTCTTCTTCCGCACTCTTGTTTCTAAGTTTTCTGGCATTGCGTTCTTCCAGTATAACTGTCTGAGCCTGGGATTGGCGATTGGTGCCGCGGCAGCAGTCATTTCAAGGTGGGAGATAGTAGCGTGTGTTTTATTTTCATTGTCGCTTAATCACAAGCAGGTAAAGCCGACTATAGCTCAACAAATTCTCATGAATGCGTACTTTTGCAGATGAGCATGTATTACGCTCCCGCGTTCTTTTCGCATCTCCTGGGGATTTCTTTGAGAAAGAAGTATCCGGTGCTGAATGTTTTGAAGCTTGGAGCTGCCGTTTTATCGACTTTTGCTCTTTGCTGGTGGCCATTTTTGCATTCCAGAGAAGCAGTATTACAGGTAATCAAACCATCGGTAATACCCGTGCTTTACATGTTTCTACACAGGTTCTGAGTCGCCTGGTTCCAATCCATCGGGGATTGTTTGAGGACTACGTGAGCAATTTTTGGTGTGTTTCTAACCTGCTCATAAAGTGGAAACAGCTGCTCCCAGATCGAGTGCTTGTTCAGCTTGCGTTCGTCGCCACTTTGGCCTGTATACTGCCGTCTATGCTTCAGCAGATACTCAGGCCAAGCAGGAGAGGCTTCCTCCTGGCGATGTTCAATTGCTCGTTTGCCTTCTATTTCTTCTCTTACCAAGGTGACTATCTTCGATTGGTATTTTGTACCGCTGACTTGCTAAAGCTTTTGGTTGTCAGTGCACGAGAAATCTATTCTTCTTCCTGTAATTCCGGGAACGCTTCTCGCTTTAGACGAGCCACTCGTTTGGAGATGGCTGATACCAGGTGCACTCATGTCCATGTTCCCTTTGCTCGTTCGAGATGGTCTCCTGCTCCCATATTTCGCGTTGCTGCTGCTCTTCTTCCTCGGTTTTGTTCCACTCAGGAGTTTCAACCCAGTAGCAGCATCCTCACTGCTTGGTGGCTTCGTTCTTCATCTCGCTTATCTGCTGCTGGATCCACCTGCGAGATACCCATACCTTTTTGAGGCTTTTATTGCAACCTACACATTCGCATACTTCGCCGCGATCTTTCTGTACACAAACTACCGCCAGTGGTCCAGGAGTCGAGTTTTATCGTCGACACAAAAACGGAAAAAGAAAGTATGAGTTGACACAGGTACGCTTTATCTAGAATTTCCTGCATGTACTGACATTAGTTTTGTAGTACTAACTGAAGATGAGCGCTTCTTAAGCCGTTGTTTCCTTCCGCGTCAATTTGGTAGGGACGCGTCTTAATAGCAGTTTCCTTTTCGTCTCCAATCCGGCATGAATAGGTCGGTTCTCTGTGGATCCTTTGTCCCTGCCCTTCTTTCTCAAGTTGCATCCTTGACTTTGTTTTAGAATAACAGCAAGCAAATGCCTGATCGTGTCGTCTGAGTTAGCTGTCCCCTTCTCGGTTCCGTCTTTCTCTTGAGACGGCGCTTTCTCTACGACTTTGCTCACAATGGTGTTCTTCATCCTCCATGGTTATTCTCCTCTTCGGTTCCTCTTCTGAATTGCATTCACTCCTATCAGCATGCAGGCTTTTTTAGTCCTCCTTTTCAATCTCGCTTTCGCGAGTTCCCTGGATTTTAGAATTATTCACAGATACTCGGATGAGGCAAGGGGGCTCTTGGGTCTAGGAGAAGAGCCAGCTCCTCCGGTGAGAGGCAGCTTAGATTACCACAGGCTGCTGCTCAAGCACGACCTGTCAAAGCACGGCCGAGAGCTGCTCACTGGCAACGACAGTCTAGCGCTACTGCAAGGCAATTATACTGAGGATCTGGGACCGAGGTTCGGAGGGTAAGGTAGACGATCTCTGAAAGTTTTTCATTATCCAATCGAATTCGCTTCTCTTCTCACAAATCTGTTGCTTTCAGAATTCACTACACGTTTGTGGATATAGGCACTCCAAATGTTTCTTTTCTGGTGGCACTTGACACTGGGAGTGACTTGTTTTGGGTTCCCTGCGACTGTAAGCACTGCCAGTCCGTTTCTCCATCGGAGTTTCCCACTTTGGTATGTGTTTCACTAGAAATTGTTCTTGAAGGTTTGACCGTGCCTTTCAGAAGAAGAGGCTTACATACTTCACAACAAACAGTTCGACGACCAACAAGCTACTCACTTGTGGCGACAAGGCTTGCTCCAGCAGCTCGTGCACCGGCAACTCCTCAGTCTGTCCATACACGGTTAGATATCTTTCAGAGAACACTTCTACCTCAGGAAAACTAGTGGAGGATGTGATTCACCTTTTCAAGCCATCGACAAGCTCTGCCATTACTGCCAGAATCATTTTTGGGTGAGGATGTTTTCCATTCTTCAGAGCTTTTCTTGACTATTTGCAGCAAACAGGTGTGGGGAGCAGCAAACGGGATTGTTTCTACGTGGTGGTGCTCCCAATGGACTCCTGGGATTGGGGCCGGGAGACGTGTCGCTCCCAAGCATGCTCGCCAAAGACGGTCTCATAAACGACACATTTTCAATGTGCTTTGACACCGATGGATCGGGACGGATTCTTTTCGGTGATCGGGGAGCTAAATCGCAGCAAACCACTTCCTTCATTCCAAACTCTGGCGTTAAGTAAGTGATAGTTGAGTTTTCCTTTTTGAGCCAGCTGCGATGAAACATTCTGCAGAAGTGCGTACGATGTTGGTATTGAACAGTTTACTGTTGGCACGCGAAACATCACTTTTAGAAGCTTCAATGCACTCTTTGATACCGGGACAACGTTGACGTACCTTCAGTCCGATGCCTACCAGCGTGTGACAGAAGCAGTAAGGCCAGTTTAAAACTTTGTTTTTGTGTGCCAAACATTCTCCTGGTGACGCAGTTCGACAGCCAGATCAATCTCAGAAGAATAACAAACGTGGACTTGTCTCCTTATGAGTATTGCTACCGATTGAAGTTAGTCTTTGTTTGAGTTTAATCTTTCGAGCCGGTCTCACACAGACTTGTGTTTGTCATGCAGCGGCAACGAAGATACAGTAACAGACATTCCAGCACCATCATTGTCGCTAACATTTCAAGGAGGAGGGAATTTTTCTGTGGTAGATCCTCTGGTGTTGGTCATCGGCTCGGACGTAAGTTATCTCTCGGTGCTTTGTTTAAACGAAAACTCAAATCCATTCGTGGCTTGCAGAGTAGAGTACTAGGATTTTGTTTAGCAGTTCTCGAGAGCAACTTTCCCATCATCGGCCGTAAGTACTGCGTTTTCGCTAGAATCAAGCTGAGAAAACCTTGCGTACTGCGCAGAGAACTTCATGGGAGGCTACAGATTCGCTTTCGATCGGGAGCGTTCGACGCTGGGATGGTCGCCCGCCAATTGTAAGTGTTCGCTCCATCTTCTCCAAGTTTAAGCTCTTGCTCGGCTTTGTCTCGCACAGGCTATCATTTGGAAGACGGGGCATCGTTCGAGCACACTCCATCGCCGATCAATCAACCCGTCTCCCAGAATCGAAACGACAACAGTCCATTCCTCAAGCCTCCACAGCAGGAGGCCGCCGCGAGTTTTGGTATCACCCAAACTTCCAGCGTTTTCGTCGTTCTATTCTTCCTGTTCATCCTATTTTGAAAAATTGGATATTCTATCGAGATTGATCTATATCCGTTGGATCCAACCTAGCCTTATCAAGGGCTGGGATGTTCTCTGACCGCTCTGACCAACCAGTCAACAATGTGTGGTGGACGAGGTTTGGTGGGTTAGTGAGGAATGACGTCGCGATTTAGGGTTCTTCAGGCGTGCCTCGCGTGTTCCTCGTGAGATCTTCCATCGCCAAGCTCAATCGAGGTAGCAAACCGTAATTCCATCCTCTTCTAAGGCCCTCGTAGCTACATTCATCGATTCATTCTCATCTTTCCTTGCTCCTGTGCCAGGGCAAGCCGCAGAGGAGGAGCTATGGCGCCAGCGACGTCCCTGGAGAAGCCGGCCTACTACTGGGGCGACGAGATCTCCCCGGACGACTTCTACGCGCAGCAAGGCGTGCGCCACGCCGAGTCCCACTACACCACGCCGCACGGTACGCTCTTCACGCAGTCCTTCCTCCCGCTGGACGCCGCCGCCGCGCCGCGCGCTCTCATCTTCCTCACCCACGGCTATGGCAGCGACAGCGGCTGGCTCTTCCAGTCCATCGCCATCACGCTCGCCCAGTGGGGATTCGCGGCCTACTGCGCGGACCTCCTGGGCCACGGCCGCTCCGACGGCCTCCACGGCTACGTGTGGGACGTGGACGCCTTCGCCGACGCAAACCTCCGCTACTTCCACTCCATCCGCGACAAGCCCGAGTTCTCGGGCCTCAAGAAGTTCCTGTTTGGCGAGTCCATGGGTGGCGGCCTCACGCTCCTCATGTGCTTGAAGGATCCAAAGGGCTGGGATGGAGTGATCGTGACGGCGCCGCTCATCGTCATCCCGGAGCTCATGCAGCCGTCGAAGCTCCACCTGTTTGGATACGGGCTGCTGCTCGGCCTGGCCGAGTCGTGGGCGGTGATGCCCGAGAACAACATCGTGCGCAAGGCGATCAAGGATCCGGCGCGGGGGAAGCTCATCGCGTCCAACCCGAGGAGGTACAAGGGGAAGCCGAGGGTGGGGACGATGAGGAACCTGGCGAGGATGTGCGAGTACTTGCAGAAGAATGTGGAGAAGATCGAGATGCCGCTGCTGACGCTCCATGGGACGTCGGACGTGGTGGCGGAGACGGAGGGCAGCCGGATCTTGTATGACAAGGCCAAGTCGCAGGACAAGACGATCAAGATCTACGAGGATTACTATCACTCGCTGCTGCAAGGGGAGCCCGAGGAGGCGCGCGCGGTGGTGTACGGGGACATCAAGCAGTGGCTGGACGATCACTGCTAGAAAACCTCCGAGGATGACGAAGCATCTGTAGAAGTATATTCCTTGCCTGGAGAATATTCTAAGCATATTCGATTTATTTAAAAAAAATTAAGATTTCCATTAGTTGCTCAATGCACATTCGCCGAGAAAAAGAGAGTGCCAGGACACTGGCACCTGAGGTGTGACTGGGTGTGTCCACTTCGCTCCATCAATGCGAAGCTATTGTGCTTATCATCATCGTTTAGCAGAGAATTGGACGAAAGAAAAGAGAAATTCACGAGCCAGCGATTCAAGAACAACACAGAGTGGAAAGTTTGATCCAGGCGACGATGAGAAACATGGGTAAGTTCTCCCTCCCTGTAGCGAACCCAGTCCTCTAGGCCGATACCACGACCATGAATGGCAATGGATTCAGCAGCTCCAGCAGGAAGAAGCCCGCAATTGAGATTGGCAACCCCTCGCCATCGCCGGCCAGCAGCAGCGAGCAGCAGACGGATGATCGCCACAGCACAGCCACTCCCGCCGGGGATGAGCTCGGGCGAATCTTCGCCGTCTCCACCCTCGACACCGCCATCCACTCGCTCCAATCCATCGTCCAGTTCCATTTCGACAAGACGATCCAGAAGAAGCGCGGCATCGACGCCCAGAAGAAGCAGCTCTGGGCCCTCCTCGCCGCCTTCCTCGTCTTTCTGGCGCTCCTCTTCGCCAGCGTCGCCGCCACCCCTCCCGGCCGCCTCCAGTGCCGCCACTGCTGGTCTCCCATTGCGCTCGCCTCGCTCGGCCACGCCGTGATCTACGCCGCGGTGTCGCAGACTGTGCGCGTCCTCAATGGCCTCAAGTTCCAGCGCCACTGCCACAAGCTCACGCTGGGGCTCGCCGCCGCCAAGCTCGCCAAGCTCCGGGCTCTGCCCAGATCGCTGGTGGCCACCGTGGAGGACTGCGAGTTTGAGGTGCCGTACCAGGAGCCCGTGGCGTCGTACTACGCTAAGTTCACGAGGAGGTGGGCGGTTTACGCGGCGTTCTTGCTGCTCACGCTCGCCACCATGGTTGCCTCCACGGTTACCATCTTGTGCCTGTGATCGAGGAGAGAGTCTTTCGAAATCTTGATTGAGTGGCTTGAATATTCACAATCCTGGATCTCCGTTGACTAAATGAAGTCAAACCAGTCAGCTGGAGAAAAGTATCCATTGGTTGGACCGTAACAGGATGAACTTTATCTCCGCATTAATCTCCAGGAGGAGAAGACAAGCCATCTGTGCCTGAATTGCTGCATTGACTAAGCTTGTGGGGGGGACATCCATTCTCGCTGGCTGTGACATCGCAAGCTCTTCAAGGCGCGAAATCGTTTTCGTGGATTTTTATGGTAAGTTTGTGGTCTCTGATTTAAAGGTGCCAATGGCGGTATAAAGCGGTGAGCTCGATTTTTTGTTCTAGTCGCTTCGTTTTTTTTCCTGGTCTCGAGTGCTGATTTTTGTTTTAGTCGCTTCGTCTTTCCTGGTCTCGGGTGAGAATCCCGTTCATCGCATTGCAAGTCCTTCGGTTCGATCATCCTCATGATAGCTGCGACGACTTTTCCCACAAGCCGTCCTAAACACGACTCCCTTCGCCAGATGTTTCAGAATTTCCAAGTGTCTCTACTTGAAATGCTTTCGTGCCCGCTGGAGAAAAGGAAGCACAAAGAAAGCTCTAGTCATGGAGGGCCGGTAGGTTCATGACACTGACAACATCTCCTTTATGTCTTTCCAGGGGCACACGACAAAGTTGATGTTCCTTCTAAAGAAGGAACTGTGAGCTGTTGCAGCGGAGCTAAGTGTTGTTCCAGAGATTGCCACTGCCATCACCATGTTGCTCAAAGTTAATGTTGCTCAAAGGCAACTTTGAACAACATGGTGAATGCAGTAGCAATCTCTGGAACGAAGAGAAAGCTCCCACAATCCAGAACATATCGTCCCCAGGGTAAGTGGTCATCTTCAAATTTACTGGCTAGAAGAAAGCTCGTTAATTGCAGAGATATGCGTGCGCTCTTGCGAGGTGGAAGAACACCGGCAGGAAATACACGAGGAAATCCAGCCTCTGCCTCAGTCTTTTATTGAGATTTTCTTTTTTTTGGAGTTTCTTTTTCCGCGGCTCTATGAAACGTGCAGCTGCAGCAAACTTTTAGCACGATTCACAGAACCGTTGAGATCGTTTATATTTCATCTTCCAGAGAAGCAAAGGAGAAAATCTTCAAAAGCCTGTTCATCTCAGGAGTAGAGAGTGGAATTCTCCAAAAGACATTGGTGTGGTCAAGGACAATTGGGATCACTCAAGCTCTAAACGAAGTAAGTCGACTAGCCAGTCCACGCATCTGGAGACAAGTAGTCCTTGAAAGCGTGCATCCTGGCCAGGGTCTTGGCCGGCAGCTTGTTGGACAGCAGCAGCTGCTGGCGGCGCCGCCCTTTGACCCCCGCCCGCCAGTCGAGCTTCTCGATAAACGCGTGACGCCGCCGTTGACTCATCCTCCTCTCGTGCGGATGCCCCTGGAGCAGCGATCTCCACGTCGGCTCCCTCATCCACCGCCAGAGGTACCGCGGCCTCCGCCGGTTCTCCATCACTCTCCTCCTCCACCGCCGCTTGGCGTCCTCGAGCCTGTGTACCGCGGCATTTAGATTGAGCAGCAGCACGTACGCGGTCTCGTTCCCCGGGTTGATCTCCAGCGCGCGGATGGCGGCCTCCCGCCCGAGCTTGACGTTGGCTAGGCCGCCGTGGAGCCGGCAAAAGCCCAGCAAGCTCGTCCACTCCACGTCCCCGGGCTCGTACTCCATGCTCTCAATGAGCTCTTTGGCAGCCCCCAGATGCCCGCCCCGCCCAAAGAGATGGATCAAACACCGGTAGTGCGCCAAGCTCGGCCTCATCCCATAGTCCGAGATCATGGCCTGGAAGACGCCGCGGCCCCAGCGCGCAACGCGCGATCTACCACACGTCGCAAGCACGCTCGTGAACGTCACCTCGTCTGGGGCGAGCCCCTCGAGTTGCATGGCGCTGAAGAGACGGAGAACCCGTGGCGTGTGCCCGTACAGCCCGTGCGCCGCGATGAGCGCGTTCCAGTACACGGGCTCGCCGCGCGGCGTACCGCGGGGCGCCGCCGCGGTGTTGCCGTAGCGGGACCGCATCGCCGCCGCGTCGCCGCAGCGCGCGTACATGTTGACCAGCGCCACCTGGATCGAGGCTGTTGACTCGAGTGCCGGGCCCGTTGACTTGAGCTGTGCGTGGACTCGCTTGCCCAGCTCGAGGTCGCCCAGCCGCGCGCACGCCCCGAGAATGCTCGTGAAGGTCACCTCGTCGGGCTCCAGGCCCCGGACTCCCATGGCCGAAAAGAAATCCGCGGCTTGGCGGTCGGATCCGAGCTGGGCGTAGGCGGAAAGCATTGCGTTCCACGAAACCAGGCCCCTCTTCTCGTCCGGGATGCTCTCGAACGCTTCCTTCGCTCGGGAGAGGCTCCCACACTTGGCGTACATTGTGATGAGCGTGTTCGTCAAGACCCATTGCGAGCACGGTTGCTCCATCGTGTTGGACGGTTGGGAGGAGAGGAATCTCTCGTGGATCTTGGAGCCCAGGTCGAGAGCTGGGGGGCCGATCAAGGAACATGCCGAGAGGACGGTGGTGAAGGTCAAGTTGTTCGGCTGGATGCTTTCGGCTATCATTTGCTGGTAGAGATCCAGTGCTTGAGCAGCGTAGAGATGGCCGAGTTGTACATATGCTGCGATCATGGTGGTCCAGGCGAGAGCACTGCTTCTTTTGGGTT